GTTTATACTATTCAATAATTTTAAAAGTTTAATATTCAATTTTTTAGTCATTTTAACAATTATTGAACATAACTGAAGGTAAAGTGACTAGTTTAATGCGCGGCATCCAGCCTCTTAACACAGCAAACAGGCGTTAGTCTCTCTGTTTTCACTGGAGGTAACATCTTGCTTGAGACTCTCTTCAACTAAACGCTTTTTTCTGTGTTTCCAAGCAAATTATTGGTCATTTTGAAATATATTTTACATATTGACAATATATAATGCAGTGCAGTGTTGATTTAAAGAAAATAATCTTGAATTACACCAAGAGAGCTAAAATATTATGGGTGAAATGGTGCCATGGGGTGACTTCTCTTCCACCCCAATGCCTTCTCTTCTTCCTTCTCCTCCACCCCATTCTAAATCCCATCATCATCATCATCATCATCCAGGAGCCTTCTACATACACACCTCAAAGTAAGTGAACTTTTCTACCATTTTTGTTGAATTTAGGAAATTTTCGGTGAGCTGGAACCAATTACCCAAAAACCCATTGAAACAATGGTTTCGGTTAACGAACTTTTCGGTTAACGAACGACCTTCTGGAACGGATTGAGTTCGTTAACCGAGAGGTCACTGTACTGTACTTGCTGAACTGTACACCTGCACTGTTTATATACTGTACTTGCTGAACTGTACACCTGCACTGTTTATATACTGTACTTGCTGAACTGTACACCTGCACCGTTTATATACTGTACTTGCTGAACTGTACACCTGCACTGTTTATATACTTGCTCAATCAATGTAAACTTGTAAGACAGATGTAAATTTATAAACATGTAAGATCTTGCTGTTCAGTACCTGAGCCATCCTTAAGTATCCTATGCTCATGTCTTTAAGTATCCTATGCTTATGTCTTTAAGTATCCTATGCTCACGTCTTTAATTATCCTATGCTCATGTCTTTAAGTATCCTAGGATCATGTCTTTAAGTATCCTATGCTCAGGTCTTTAAGTATCCTATGGTCCGGTCTTTAAGTATCCTATGCTCATGTCTTTAAGTATCCTACGCTCATGTCTTTAAGCATCCTACGCTCATGTCTTTAAGTATCCTACGCTCATGTCTTTAAGCATCCTACGCTCATGTCTTTAAGTATCCTATGCTCAGGTCTTTAAGTATCCTATGGTCCGGTCTTTAAGTATCCTATGCTCATGTCTTTAAGTATCCTACGCTCATGTCTTTAAGTATCCTACGCTCATGTCTTTAAGTATCCTACGCTCATGTCTTTAAGCATCCTACGCTCATGTCTTTAAGTATCCTACGCTTATACTTAACCCCTTAAAATATGTGCTTATGAATTGTATACTGTATATTAACTTGCTTAACTTATGGATGAGGTGCTTTCTCCCGCTTCAGGCAACACGTACATATGAGAAAGTATTAAGAAAAGACAAAACTATAAATATATACAGCATATATATAAAAACAAAGAAACAATATACATAATGAGAAAACGTGAATCAGTGTTAGCACAAACTAGAGGTGCGGAGAACGCAGTGGATGAACAGTTGGTGCGGCAGTAAGCAGGTGACCACACAGACAGAACATTAACAGGTAAATAACTAAAACAATATCCCTTTATCTCCTCTATGACAAATGTACAGAAACCACAGGTAACTTTGGCTGATTGATGAAGAGCCATGTGTCTGTGTGTGTATAGAACTGTACAGTTAGGGATTATACATACAAAGAGAAATATGACAAGGTATACATGAGTGACCACAACTAAATCATGAAGGATGTGTTTGTCTGTATGTCTAGATCTGTATAATTAAAAGCATCATACATTCAAGGGAAAAGTGAAACCAACTAAGAAGAATGGATAGCGAGATTAAAAGATATGTCGTGTATTACGGGACATTCAGTCCTTCCAAGATTATTTCACGTAATGATTAGACACACCTAATGCTACCTGAGCAGGTTAGGTTAGAGTAGGTTTTCTTAGGTTCTGTTATGTGTGATTAAGAAAGAGATGAGTAGGTTAGGTTAGACTGGGACATATTAGGGGAGGGGCTCATCTGACCACTTAATTTACCTGTATCATTAGCATAGACCAAATCAAAACTGCAGAATCATGTATCCAGGCTCATGAGACAATACTTGTACACACGATACAACAAAGCAATTATCAGAAAATAACTGTGACAACGTTCAGCTGACACCGAGGTTGGGGAAGTGGCATTTTTAAAGTGAGAAACTGAAAGTCGACACTGGACTCATTACACGGTCTTGACGGAGAGGAGTGTTGACAACACACAAGGTAAGTATATATCACATGTTTTTCTTGGGTTGATCACATTATTGTTCTAAGATAAGGATGAAGAGAGAGTGAACTAGAGAATATAGACTCTGTAGAGTGTACAGTACAGTATATAGACGACATCCCTCACACAGGCCATTTGAGACACCCCATTAAGACAGACTCTGTCAACCACCAAACTCTTTGCCACAATCTTATTTAAATGCCTTGGTAAAAAAGTCTATGATTGCTCTCCATACTATAAATAATAACATCCAAAAAATAAAATAAAATATTACAATTTATTCAAAGTTCTGAATTAATTTTTTTTAAGTTCACATAATAAAGGACACATCTGGACTCAGTGTTTGTAAGTATTGTTAATCTTCTCTTTATGTGGTCATACCTACTGTTTCAACAAACAATAAGTATGGCAACAATGTCTCATTAAATGCTCATATAAGTGGCTTGTCAAATGGGCCCATATCCACATAAGCCCCAAGCTATCTTAACCCTTAGGAATTGTACCCATTAGGACTGAGTTCCTATCCTGATGGTTAGGTCAGGTTGGGGCACAATATGACTGAAGCCTTTATGAGTTGCAGCACACCTAACAAGTTAAATAAATACTAATTGAGTTTTTAGAAGATAAGCCTAGGTTTAAATAAGAAGCATTATTAGAAGCACAAACTGAATGGTCATTGAAATATATTAACTTAAATTTGTGTGTAATATTTACCTTCATTTCAAATGTGAAAATCTGCAAAACTGTGAAGGAGTCATAACAGGTGTTTAAAATTGACTTGATACTGTACGTGTGTGTGTGTGTGTGTTTACTGTCTATCAGCCTAAAATGAAATGTTCTTCCAACTCTGAATCACTGAATTTACACATTTATTGTGCAAAAATTCATGTGTGTTAGAATGGCACGCACGCACGCACGCACGCACGCACGCACGCACGCACGCACGCACGCACGCACGCACGCACGCACGCACGCACACACACACACACACACACACACACACACACACACACACACACACACACACACACACACACACACACACACACACACACAGCATCATGTCAACCATTAGGCCCTGATATGACTCTTAAGAACACACCCAGTAATAAGCCACACAGTGCTTGCAAAATATGATAAATGCAGATGTGCAACAGCAAGCTGTATAATGGTTTGATACCCAGCCAAAAAGAAACAAGAGGCCTAAGGGGCCTATATTGCTCACCTGGCAAAGCATTTTCCCTATATATGCCTATGTAAACCTATGTGCCCCTAGGGTGGGTCCACATGTGACCCCAAGGGCTTCATGTGAACAAACTTGCATCTCCTTTCCCCAGGGGATGATGCTTCATGCCAAATATCTTTGATTTTGGCTCAGCAGTTTCTGAGAAAAGATTTTCAAAGCATTTTCCCTATACAGCATATTCCTAAGTAAACATGTGGGGCCATATGTAACCCCAGGGGCTTCAGTTAAATAAACATGAATCTCCATGCCCAAGGGATGCTAAATGAAAATTATTTAAAAACTTTGGCATAAAACTTTACAATACTGAACAGTATAAGAAGTTTTTAAGCATCTTGACCTACACACTACAGTATACCAATGTAAACATTTGTGCCTCCAGGGCAGGGCCAATGTAACCATAGAGGCTTCATTCAAATATTCTTGAATCTCCGAGCCCCGGGGATGCTTATTAAATTTTGGCTTATGAATTATGACAAAAATACTTTAAAGTTTTTGTGTTATATATCCTACATAGAGTCCTGGGGTGGGACCAAATGTGAACTCAGAAGATCCATGTGAGTAATATTGAATATCTTTATTCAAGTGTTTCATGACTAATGCTGGATAATTTGGCCGTGTACTTTATGAGAGGAAGGTTCTTAAAGCATATTCTCCTATAGTATATTCTATGGGATCCTGGGGTAACAGTCCCAGCGGCTTTATTTGAACAAACATGAATCTCCTTACACAAACATCTCTAAATCTGGACCAGCAGCTCATGTGAGAACTATTAATAATGTCTTCATTTTCCCCTTGAGGGCTCCACCCCTCAGCCTCCAGGGTGGGGGGGGGGGTCAGTAAATTAATTCAATAGGTATAGATTCTCTTTCCCTCAAGATACTTCCTGCTTAGTTTGACTGATCTTGATGCAGTGGTTTTTTAAAGACATATCTTAAGGAAAAAGTTTATACAAAATGGATGAACATATGTGTAGTAAGAGATACACACTGTGCCATGCCATAAGCTCACTTGGCCCCAAGCCAACACACACAAAATATACTGTAATACTGAACTTCAACACAAACTTAGTGGTGAGTTAAATAAGCTATAGATACATATACTTAATTTGATGCAAGACATAGTTGACTGGAATTAAAAAAATTTCCAGAAAAGACTTGACAAAGATTACTGTACAGGATTCTAGGATGGTGAGAAGTTCATGTGACTTTTAATTTGGTGGCAGCACAACAAGAGCTGGGAGAGTATGTTTACATTCCCAGTTCTCGACCATCTTGAGTGCACAGTCAAACAATACTTCACCCTCCTACACCCTTGTACACTGTTCTTAATGACTGTTCAGGAAAAAGTGACAATTTATAATGCACTCAACAATGACTTGCCATAACTCTACCCACAACCCTAACGCTGTATTAATCTGCTAAAGAAACCATCACTCAGTTCAACTCTACCTCCACTCATATATCCCTGCCTCACGTATTTCTTGAAGCGACATCCAAACCATATAGGATGACTGGCGTCGTATGGACTCAGCATATACCGTAGGTTTTCAACAATAACGTACCTAAAAGAATAAGAATTCTAAGTTACTTTGTACCTATTGGAAAAAAACTTTCATCTGGTCATGGCTATTACAATATAAATCTGTTTTGTTAAAGCCTGATGACTTTTATTGTACATTGTTATACATTTATAGCAGTTAGAGTTTTACTTAATACAGTATACAACAGTGACACACGCAAATAAACTAAACATAGTGACATTATACAAAATACAATATGTCAACAAAATAATCACACAAATCATATTCTATAGACATATGTACAGTGGTCCCTCGGTTAACAAACGCCTCGGTTAATGAAATTTCAGTTAACGAACTGCCTCCCATAAGATTCTTAAATTCGGTTAACGAACAAAAATTCGGTTAACGAACAAAAATTCGGTTAACGAATTTCTTACGAACCGACCTCAACATGTTTTCGCTTGCTCTGGCCGGTCAACCAGCTTTAGTATTAGTCCGCCAATACATTAATCGGTTCTAGGGCTTAAATTCCTTACTATTTTAGTAAATATCAAGAAGTTTATACTATTCAATAATTTTAAAAGTTTAATATTCAATTTTTTAGTCATTTTAACAATTATTGAACATAACTGAAGGTAAAGTGACTAGTTTAATGCGCGGCATCCAGCCTCTTAACACAGCAAACAGGCGTTAGTCTCTCTGTTTTCACTGGAGGTAACATCTTGCTTGAGACTCTCTTCAACTAAATACTTTTTTTCTGTGTTTCCAAGCAAATTATTGGTCATTTTGAAATATATTTTACATATTGACAATATATAATGCAGTGCAGTGTTGATTTAAAGAAAATAATCTTGAAATACACCAAGAGAACTAAAATTTTATGGGTGAAATGGTGCCATGGGGTGACTTCTCTTCCACCCCCATTGCCTTCTCTTCTTCCTTCTCCTCCACCCCCATTCTAATTCCCATCATCATTATCATCATCATCCAGGAGCCTTCTACATACACACCTCAAAGTAAGTGAACTTTTCTACCATTTTTGTTGAATTTAGGCAATTTTCGGTGAGCTGGAACCAATTACCCAAAAACCCACTGAAACAATGGTTTCGGTTAACGAACAACCTGCTGGAATGGATTGTGTTCGTTAACCGAGGGACCACTGTATCTATTAATTATTGTACGTATATGTTTTAAAATATGTGTAATATCATATACAGTATATAATGGCAGTCTTTGCACATCAACAGGTTAGGACAATGTTGTTGTTGTTGTAATAAAAGTGTTCACACAATCACCACAAAAATCTGTAAGACAATGTGTAACTATAAAATTTTTGACACACCCTGTTCTGTTTTATGTAGCATTATCTATGTCACACCCTGTACAGTAAAGAGACTATACTGACGTGTCATCATCAGCCTTCATGAACCAATCAGCATCTTCAAAATGGTTGTTGTATATGTAGATGAAGGCAGCCTTGGTCTTCTCCCACAAGTGGTCACGTCCCTCACCAACCTCAAGTGCCACAGCTCCCAGTTCCTTGTCTGTTCTCATATCAAATACACAATACATTAAAGTGAGTAGGATAAGGCAAGTGTATTTTGGGAGCACATGTATATTAGCCACTCCTAACTACTACTATATCATCACAGTAATAAGGCAAGAGTGTATGGAGGACCACCCATATTGGGGAAAAAATCTAATTTAGAAAATACCTCGCTCCACAAGGTCGCCCATTCCTTAGCTTAAGAGGCTCAAGCATGCCAAAATTTAGATGCAGACGAACACATTTAATGTTTACGCAAGAAATAAGGCCTCGTAATCGTAATCAAGTTTTCATGTGAAGAAAACAAAATACCTCTGTATTGACTTTAGATGCAAACTCTATGTTGTTCAATCAAGTTCAAAATTATTTACTATAAACTCATACCTTTAAACACTTCACTACGAAGATGACAATTTTATTACTTTATTTGACTAACGCCAGACGATTTTGTTTGGCTCAGAGGCGACCCCACACACACGGGGTCGATAGGAACGTGGGCCTTATGGGGGCGACAAAATCTGACATGTGGAAAGTTATTACAAACCTTCTTCACTGCTCATGAATACCAGTTTGTTGCACCGCCGGGCCCACGTTGCTTTAATGTGACGTGCTTTTTTCTGGTGGTTGGTTGGGTTTGTCATCACCCAACACAAGACACGAACTTTATCCTTAAGAATTTCTGCTTCCACAGCTTCTCCTGAGAAAAAATAACATACAATGAATAATTATAAGAATAAACAAGCTGTATGGTATTAATAACCAATACCTGTCCTGTCCCATACTAACATCTACCAGCTGAACATTTTCTACCTTACCTAAAAGACATTTAACATTTCCTAATGTCTTACCAGCTTCCAAACTCACAATTTAATGTATTTTTTTTATCCTGTCAATCTTACCTGAAGCACAACTGAACCAGTGTACAGTATCTAGTCAGAGTCAGGGGGGAGTGCTATCTGCTGACCCATGGACCCCTTCTACCTTCAGTCTGTCTATATACTTGCATAAAGAAACCTGTGTACAGTAGTGCTTGTTTAACCCAACTACATGGTTACTGCAGGGTCAAGTGGGTTATTGCGTGTGTGACGGTATTATTATGTTCATGGAGATTATTAAGGTATGCATTAACCATGAGATAAACGACGTGTTGTGAGTGCGTTGCGGCCTACAGTAAGATGAGGGTACACTGTACATGGGAGAAAGCATTCAGGGTACAAATGACAAGAAATTTTGTGTGTGTTCATGATTCATTTCCCACACGCAGAGTCAGGGTACAGTACAGTACAATATTTGTAATATACAAGTATGAAGGACATTCTGTAAAACACTCACCTGTTCTGAAATATACAATAAATAAAGATCATCAAGGTACCTGCATGGTGAGCTTCGTGGCTGGAGTGCATTGCCACGTTGTCCATCGGTCCAGCGGCACTCTCCAGTTCATCATGATTGTGTGCGTGACTCTCTATGCTCTGAGGAGGACTGGAGATGTATTCAATTAATAATACTCTTAATTTAATAAAGTAGGAACACAAAGTCCTAGCATGAATGAATAAATTTCTCTATCTACATAAATAAGTAATATTGTACCATCATTCAAAACAGAGGTGACATGTACAAGACCTTTCCATAATACTTAAGTCACACACAACATCTTCCCATAATACTTAAGTCAATGAGTTCCTTCCAATTCTCAATAATAATCTTTCGTCACAGGAGACGCCTTAATAGTCTTGTTCTTGTCTGCAGCGCCTCAAATGACTACCAATAAAGTCACACTAATGGTTAGAAGCAACACCATTTATGGTTATGGTCTCACTCAGGTACATAAATAGACAGGAAATAATTAAAAAATAATAATAATAAATGAGCAAAAACAAAAATCAATAGAAAACAGTTTTCTTATATAAAGAAACAACAATGAAAGATTTTGAACATACAATAAATGACAAGTAGTGAGAAGAATAATGGTGAAGTAATCATCAATGCAGAACCATCCTGTGCTTCCTCACACCCATACTGTACTTTATATATTATGATGTATCTTGTTATGTGTTTTGCTCCACACAGTACACCCACCTTGCTACATACTGTACTGTACTGTACGTTATATATTATTATGTACAGTACAGGTGCTCCTCTACTTAAGAACGTTCAACTTACAAACTTTCAGAGATACAAACATCATCACTGAGGGGGAGGTTACCTGCCAGAACAGGTGTTTAATATGGATGAGACTGGATTATTTTTAAGAAAATTCCAGATAGAAGAGTGAGCCAGGTTTTAAGGCTGTATTAAAGGGTATAGCTGTACTAAATATCCATAATCTTTTCATTTTTTACAATGTTTGGTATCTAAAAGAGTAAAGTTGGACTTACAAACAATGGGACTTGCATACAAGCCTCAGGAACGTAACTCGTTCGTAAATAGAGGAGCACCTGTATCTTGTTAAGTGTTTTGCTCCACACATACAGTACAGGCTGTGTCAACCTCAGGTGAGAAAGGGTGATGAATTCTAGATGGAGGGCCATGAGGACCATTTGAGGGCTTCACTATGCAGTGTTTCTCTCCAAGGTGTAAAAAAAAAAAAACCCTTCTCTGGGTACATATGAATACATATTATTTATTATTTGTTAAGCTTTCAATCTTAGTTATTGCTGCATAAGAACAATTTTAGTGCTGTACTGATATTTTACAAGGTGATTAGGTTAATAAGTTGTAGTGCAATGAATTTTATATTTTCATGATTAATTTTAACTAATATATGTGTCATGCCTGTAAGTGGTTTAACATGCTTTTGAAGAACCATTTCAGCTCAAGACCACATGGATAGCTTCCCTCGGCACCCGGCAACCTACTGTACTTCCTGACATGGCATTGACACCACATACCCGGTATGTACAAGAAGCTTATAGGGAGATGGATTTTTCTTGTATATTTAATGCCATGATCCCAAGTCAGAGAGGATAGCTTCATCATTATCATTTGTTAATTTAGTACAGTTATATGTGGATTTAATGTACAATAGTGATGTCATTTATTAACTGAGATTATACTTGTTCCTGGATACATAAGACAGGAGAAACAAGACAGGAAGATAGATGAGTGTGGGGTCAGCAGTAACAAGTGTGTCTACTGGGGTACAAACCAGTCACCCAGTAACAGGGTATGGCAGACATTATGGCACCCAGATGACCAGCAAGGATGGCAACAGTTTGTGTAAATAATTATGTCAACTCAACATGAAAGTGATGAACATGGTTGGTTCAGTTTTTCATAAGGAAAATATTACCAACTAAAAATGAAAATAAATAAATAAATAAATAAAATAGGACAAAATTTTCTTAGAAACTTACTGTAAATAAAAAATAATAATAATAAAAATGATGTATTCTGGCCTGAAAATTATAAAAATTAGGGAAAAATTTAATTAGTAGGCCTCTATGTCTGAGCCTTCTACAGTACAGGATGTATGTATTACTGAACCATGCTGTCCCACAAATATCTGACCCATTTTTAAGACTTACTAACCTCAAAAATATTACACTATAGATATAACATGAGGCACATATGTTATACTATAGATACAACATGAGGCACATATGTTATACTATAGATACAACATGAGGCACATATGTTATACTATAGATACAACATGAGGCACATATGTTATACTATAGATACAACATGAGGCACATATGTTATACTATAGATACAACATGAGGCACATATGTTATACTATAGATACAACATGAGGCACATATGTTATACTATAGATACAACATGAGGCACATATGTTATACTATAGATACAACATGAGGCACATATGTTATACTATAGATACAACATGAGGCACATATGTTATACTATAGATACAACATGAGGCACATATGTTATACTATAGATATAACATGAGGCACATATGTAAGAAAATAAAAAACTTGGAGTTGTTTATCAAGTATTAAACAAAGTTTTTTCTACCTATTCTGTATAAAGTTTAGAAATTATTAATTTTTAAAATGGGTCTGATAATTTATGTGCACCGAGTATACCTGTAGAAGTACCGTAGTGGACTGAGTGTAACAAAGTGATGAAGGGAAGGTGAAGCAGGAAAGATTCTTATACAGGTATGACAATACAGTAATAACCAGCACCAAATACTGTATAGGTAATCTATTCTATCATACAATAACAGGATTTGATAAAAGAAAAAAATTATGTACTTCACCTAAGCAAAAGTTGTAATGGCTGCCCAAGTTTGCATGCAAAGCTTTAGTTATACACCAGTAGGCCTAAAAAAATCATGAGTTTCCAGTACTGTACTGTAATAGGTTGAGAAATTTGAGTAGGATAGGCCATTTTTTTTTTAATTTCTCAAGTTTTGCCCCAAACATGACTACTGTATGACTATACAATAATTATATCTGGATTGATATTCAGATGCATTTTTCAGCAGGCAACGTTTACTATGTTAACAAAAGTTATTTCTATTTTCGAGGATCTCAAGATGGATTAATAAAGACAAAGATCTTCACTGAGATAAAAGTGTTTGAAATATCAGATAAAATAATTAGGGTCGGCCAAAATTTCCTTAGGTAGGGTTTACTTACTGGAAATACATGGTTTTTACGTTTTGACCCAACACCACATCCTTCTTGTACGTGTTACAGCCACCGCAGTGTGACGGCAGATCCCAAACGCCACATTAACTACATTACAAATGTAAACTAGTGGTGGACGTCAAACACAAAGTTTTCAGCAGCAACAAATGGTCTAATAAACTATAATGAGAGGTCATCAAAACAGAATGCCCAGATCTCAATATACGTACAGTATAACCTTTTAGAATCTGTGCAATCTACCTCGATGCCCATGTATTATAACGTAAATGAACACAGCCACGAACGCTATCATCAACGAGTGTATAAAAATTCACTGTGCTGTTCAATTATTTAAATATAGAAAGTTGGTGCCCAAAACTTTGCAGTGTACACGTCACGTAAACCATCACCTGTTAGTGCCTTTTACCTAATGCCCTCTATGTACCGTGGGTGCACAGATACAGTGCTGTTTAAGAGATAGAAGGAGAAGAAGCCGCAGAACATTCCCGTTCCGAGGGTTAGAATGAAGCTGCGGCTTATGCCCATTGTGACTCCTGCAAATAGAACAGATGCACGTCAGTAATTATGTCGTTCACTAATACTGTTAAGCAGGGGAGGAACAGTAGATCATTTAAAAGAAGACTTCAATAATACTTACAGAGATTTGATACAAAAAGTGTACGGTATAAGTAATAATAATAATAATAATATCGGTCATTATAGCAAGATACCAGGAGCAAAATAATGGTTGGAGCAACAAAAATGAAACAGTGCCTTCACCTTTTTCACATACAAAACCGAGAGAATATTTGAACATGTGACACTCTTATAAGAGAGTATCTCCACACACACTTTCTTGACTGAACTATACTGGATGGGATCACCCTAAGTTTATCCCCAAGATTATTTCACCTGATGTGTTCTCCTATAGCATTCTTCTCTTCATATCAAAGCCCCATAGAGCTCCCTGGCTAACCTCTTCAAAACTGAATGAATAAAGCTTCTGATACTTGCCAACTGATGGGAGAATAACACTGTATATCCAGCTTTTTTCTTCAACGATCGTCAAGAGTTATTCATATGTATCTGGTACTTTTCTTTTCCTCACCTCTCACTTATAACTACATCATAAAACACTGAAAATTTTATAGAATCATTATAAGAATTATACTCTTTATGATTACACTACAGCAGCAGAAGACACACACGCGTTCCAACATTAGTTCAGTTCTCTGCCTACCTTGCTCGCCCCTCATATCACAACAAAGATAATCTTCAAGTGCATAGTACAGTGAAACATCTATTTAACAGTCTACATAGAGAGGAAAGTCTATTATATCGAGGGTCTGCTATGTGTTAAATTCTCCATCTGATGGATTATATGGAGAAATAAGTCCATTATATTGAGGTTTTACTGTAGTTTCTTTTTAATGACGAGTTTATCCTAGTTAAAAATACTTACTGCGTATCAAAAAGCCCATGATTATGGATCTATACCACACACACACATGAGAAATAATTACAGCAAATCCAAACCACAGGTTTAGGAATTCAGTGGGACAATGAGAGGCTCTGGCAAGTGTTGTACAGCACAACACTCTCACTACAGTTGCCAGCTTTGGTAATTTTTACATTTTATGATGCTATTTAAAAAGAAATATATATATACAGTACTGTACTCTATATTGTATAAAGTATATATATTGTAATGCATAGATTTCAGGGTAAAAAATAAGTGTACTGTACTAGTTCTATTTGATATTAACCCTTTCACCGCGTGTCACTCACTTGCCATTTTATTCTGGCTACCACCAGATGGCTTCATTCAGCTTAGCGTAACCTCCCACTGTGAAAGGGTTAAGAGACAAATGTTAGAAAAAGAAAACATACATAGTACATGTGTTGTACTGTACAGTGTGCATTATCTTATCAAATGTGGAAAATACTAACTGATAACTCACCAGTTAAACAAACCTACTGATAACACATAACTGTACAGCTTATTTCACCTGATGATTAAATACCCTAACACTACCTGGTTTTGGGGGGTTAGGTTAGTGTTATGTTTGATTAGGTTAGGGCAGTTTAGATTAACATTTGGTCAGGTTAGGTTTGGGTGGTTCATCATTAGGTGAAATATGCTGGGGTCTCTAATCTTCATATGATCCCTTCTGTTCACATTCACCACTACCGCCACCTGCGTGGCAGTAAGAAGTGATACCACCCTCAGTGTCAAGACCTGACTGAATTACTCAGAATAGGTAAACTGTACTACAAGTTTTGTCAATAAATTTGTTAAACTAAAAAAAAATGCCACCACCACTATTAATACCACCACCACCACTATCATCACCACCACTACCATCACCACCACTACCACTATCAACACAACCATCACCACCACTAAACATAGCAGGTTTTTTCCCCGTGTCCTCCAAAATCCTCCTGTGCTGGATAATGAAGGTCATAAGAGAGAAGAGACCAACTCCCAGCTGAAATGTTACCTGAAACTGGTGATAAATGATAAATAATTAAAAAATAAATAAATGTACTGCATAAGTTAAAAAAATATACCTTCCATACCTTAATGTGACCCAAGAGGTGATGTCCCCAGATGTCCACAGCACCAGACAGCTGGCCGTCATTACCTGTCCAAACATATTATTTCAATAACTTAGAAACACTATTATCTCACTCATCCCTCCCCAGCTTATTCCACTTTAAGGTTATGTACCCAAGCTTAACCTAAAATAACCTAACCTAACTTAACCTAAAATAACCTAACCTAACTTAACCTAAAATAACCTAACCTAACTTAACCTAAAATAACCTAACCTAACTTAACCTAAAATAACCTAACCTAACGTAATCTAAAATACCCTAACACTCTAAAGTAACCTAACCTAACCCCCAAACACTAATAAGGTAGTTAATAATCCTCAGGTGAAATATACTGAGGGCTAATCTTCAGTTGATCCTAATTATTGAACAATACTGTACAACATAACCTGAAATCTATTACTATACTAAAGACACAGTACTGTATTATATCACTTTAAAACATTGGAAAAACAAAAGTAGGAAGGTTACAATTCCTCTTCTCTTCTACTGATATTCAAGAGACAAGAACGGAATTTTCCTAAAGAGAAAATTTTCCTAAAGTTGCCTCTTCTTTAGATATTTTCCAGTCATCAATAACTAATTACAGTATAATTTTCCTTTAACCTCTGAATTATTATCACCACTTTCTTAACAACAGTGAGAGTAATTATGTGTTTCAAATACTTTCCACACATGATATAAGGTCACGTCTTGGTGAGTGTTGACGAGTGTGAGTCTGGGGAAGGAAGTGTGTGTTCATCACCACCAGTACACATGCACTCACAGCCATAAGGGATCACATGTAGAAGAGAGCTTAACACTATCCTAGGTAGTGTTAGGGTGTTTAATCATCAGGTGAAATATGCTGAAATAGTTAATCTTCATGTGCTCCCTATAGACATTTTTGCATATCTGCATTTACCACCTAGCATTGCCAATCCTCTCTCTCCCTGAGGTGTGAATGTTAAATTTTTTTGACTCGTTTGACCTCACAAGGTGAACGACCGTGAGGCACTGACGTCTCTTAAGCCGACAGACAAGGCAAACTTCTTCCTCAACATCATCAAGTACCTACAGTACAGTATTTACATCCTGAACCGAATATCCCATTCAGGCAGGAAGACACATTGTATCAGACACCCTTTCTGCCTCCATACACCATTGGTCTAGTTTTAAAGCAAGTTCATGGCAATGTCACATGTGTGTGTTTGAGAACTGGGTAATTATTGACTACATACCCGGCACCAAGTTTTCCAAGAAAATTAATGCTAAAATGTCGCAATTTCACTGTTTTTGCAGTGGACACTGTCATAGTTTGGCCAATGTGTTAAAATAGGGTTAACTGTACAATACATTACTTTTAAATTAAACCTAATCTAACCTTAGTTGATAAGAAACAAAAGCAGCCAAAGCAATGTTAGAAGACCTCACCAACCCAACCAAAGAAACCTACTTAACCTTACCTAACTTCCTAGTGTTTCGTAAACATACACTGACCGGAGGAAAAAATGGTGCTGGATCGGGCCACATTGCCGTTTAATAGCAGCGAAAGATGAAGTAGTGCGGCTTAGTGCAAACCTAAGGAACTAATGATCTACCAATGAAGCATTTGACCAAGAAAAGAATATCACATCCGAACTCACCAATGAAAATACTGTAGTAAAAAAAAAATCCATCAAAACAAATTACCCTGCAACATGTCAGTCATCAATATTTACCGAGAACTGATTGATAACAAAATAACCACGATCTTAGATCTACTTAGGCAGCAGCAGCCTGTGTGTGCTCTGTGTACCAAACTCAAGAATCTCTGGCAATGCTTGATGCTCCATTCCTGAGAAAATGAATGTTGTCACACTGAAGGTCGACCTGCTGGTTTAGTAGTAGTGGTGATCGTCACACTGGAGGTCGACCTGCTGGTTTAGTAGTAGTGGTGATCATCACACTGGAGGTCGACCTGCTGGTTTAGTAGTAGTGGTGATCATCACACTGGAGGTCGACCTGCTGGTTTAGTAGTAGTGGTGATCATCACACTGGAGGTCGACCTGCTGGTTTAGTAGTAGTGGTGATCGTCACACTGGAGGTCGACCTGCTGGTTTAGTAGTAGTGGTGATCATCACACTGAAGGTCGACCTGCTGGTTTAGTAGTAGTGGTGATCGTCACACTGGAGGTCGACCTGCTGGTTTAGTAGTAGTGGTGATCGTCACACTGGAGGTCGACCTGCTGGTTTAGTAGTAGTGGTGATCATCACACTGGAGGTCGACCTGCTGGTTTAGTAGTAGTGGTGATCATCACACTGGAGGTCGACCTGCTGGTTTAGTAGTAGTGGTGATCATCACACTGGAGGTCGACCTGTTGGTTTAGTAGTAGTGGTGATCATCACACTGGAGGTCGACCTGCTGGTTTAGTAGTAGTGGTGATCATCACACTCGAGACGACCCTACAAGACACTGTACTGCCTCATATAGCATCAGAGAGGAACATATTGTAACATAATCCCTTATTTAAAAAGGTGATCACAAGCAGTTTACTGAAGACACGTATATATCTCGTACTCAGGTATAAACTAACAATACAACTAGTCATACTAAAGTAGGCAGTTTACTATAGACTAGTTTACCTCACTGTAAGATAACAAGACAACTAGAGTCACACCAAGTTGTATAATATGGTAAGATAGATGCTGGGTGTGGACATGTCAGGAGCTGCCACAACTACCTTTCCTCACTACCACTTGTAACACTTGCCACACCTCTCACCCACACACCCTAGACACCTCACAATGACACATCCTCACCTGTGATACATTGTTGTGACTTTTCTGTGACGAATAAAAGAGGCAGAGGCAATAATAACCCGGCCAGTGAGGGAGATGACAGTCTTCAGTGTACACATCTGTTTATCGAGCTAGGGACTACAGGCTTAAGATGCTGACAAATGTTCAAATTACACCCAATATATTAAAAATATATATTTTTTAATACAATAAGTATTATTTTGATATTAATACATTATTTTGTTATAATTTCATTCAAAATTAATAATACCTATATAATATTTAGGCTTGTAGTTTACTTATATCATTTAAGTTGAGCGGGAAACTATATTGTCCATTTAGTACAACAAGAAACTATATTGTCCATTTAGTACAACAGGAAACTATATTGTCCATTTAGTACAACAGGAAACTATATTGTCCATTTAGTACAACAGGAAACTATATTGTCCATTTAGTACAACAGGAAACTATATTGTCCATTTAGTACAACAGGAAACTATATTGTCCATTTAGTACAACAGGAAACTATATTGTCCATTTAGTACAACAGGAAACTATATTGTCCATTTAGTACAACAGGAAACTATATTGTCCATTTAGTACAACAGGAAACTATATTGTCCATTTAGTACAACAGGAAACTATATTGTCCATTTAGTACAACAGGAAACTATATTGTCCATTTAGTACAACAGGAAACTATATTGTCCATTTAGTACAACAGGAAACTATATTGTCCATTTAGTACAACAGGAAACTATATTGTCCATTTAGTACAACAGGAAACTATATTGTCCATTTAGTACAACAGGAAACTATATTGTCCATTTAGTACAACAGGAAACTATATTGTCCATTTAGTACAACAGGAAACTATATTGTCCATTTAGTACAACAGGAAACTGGAGTACTCGGGGAAAACCGCAGGGTACAGTATTACGATTTAAGTAAACTACAAGCGTAAGTAATATATAGATAATTATTCATTTTGAATTAAATTATAAGAAAAATATGTATTAATATCAAAATAATACTTATTATAATAATGAAATACCTTTATAATATATTGGGTGTCATCTTAAGCCTGTAGTCCCTAGGTCAATAAACAGATGTTTGTGTACAGATTGCCCACGAGGGGGCTAGTTTATTGGGCACCCCCTTACATCCTGTGCAGAAGCGTTTACAGCGCCCATCTGGGAAGCATGCGGAGTTCATGCTTGCCTTCATGACTCATGCATTAAGGGCGTAACGGCCTGAAGGGTCATGGATTTGTCAGCAAGTTACATAAAGTGACAATGATGAGTGTGTTGGGGGAAAATTCCCGGTACAATTCATCTGTTTATGGTAAAGTGTGACAGGTCCCTAATAATGTCAAGTGTCAGGCACTGGAGACTAGCTGACAAACTGTCAGCATTAATACTGAACGTTGACCGCACACTATTTTTTTTCATCAAATTATTCTAGAACAACAATACAGATGAAGGATAAAAATTAAATTATAAAAGCTCTTATTTTATTACCAATTTTCTTCCATTTATTAAAGTCACCATTTTTAAAAATTGCTTTACCCTAGTTTAACTCACTGTGAAAGTAGGTGAGGTGTAATAATAATAATAATAATAATAATAATAATAATAATAATAATAATAATAATAATAATAATAATAATAATAATAATAATAATAATAATAATAATAATAATAATAATACGGTTTATTGAAAAGTGAGTATATGTGTGTGTGTGGGGGGCATCACACACACACACTCAGGCGTGACCAACACCTCAGGTAAGAAAACCCGTTAACTTGACCACGCAACCTGGCCTCTAGTGTACCTGGCCTCTAGTGTAGTGTACCTGGCCTCTAGTGTAGTGTGCCTGGCCTGTAGTGTACCTGGCCTCTGGCCTCAGTGTAGTGTACCTGGCCTCTAGTGCCTCAGTGTAGTGTGCCTGGCCTCTAGTGTAGTGTACCTGGCCTCTAGTGTACCTGGCCTAGTGCGTAGTGTACCTGTGTCCTGGCCTCTAGTGTAGTGTAGTGTACCCTCTAGTGTACCTCTAGTAGTGTACCTGGCTCTAGTGTACCTGGCCTCTAGTGTAGTGTACCTGGCCTCTAGTGTACCTCTAGTGTAGTGTACCTGGCCTCTAGTGTAGTGTACCTGGGGTAGTGTACCTGGCCTCTAGTGTAGTGCCTGGCCTCTAGTGTAGTGTAGTGTACCTGGCCTACCTGGCCTCTAGTGTACCTCTAGTGTAGTGTACCTGGCCTCTAGTGTACATGTACCTGGCCTCTAGTACCTGAAGTGTACAAGACTGTACCTGGCCTCTAGTGTACCTGGCCTGACATGTGGAGGAAATAGAGGGATGTAGAGAGGGTGGAGGAAGTGGAAGAGGGTGGAGGGTGGAGAGAAGGGTGGAAGGGGAGGGTGGAGGTGGAAGATGGTGAAGGAGGTGGAGGAAGTGAAGGAGGGTGGAGGAAGAGGGTGGATGGAGTGGAGGTGGAAGAGGGTGAAGGAGGTGGAGGGGTGAAGGTGGAAGAGGGTGGAGGGTGGTGGAGGTGGAGGGTGGAAGGAGGTGGAGGGAAGGAAGGAGGGTGGAGGGAGGGAAGAGGGAGGAGGGAGGTGGAGGGAGGTGGAAGAGGGTGAAGGGAGGTGGAGGGAAGTGAAGGAGGTGGAAGAGGGTGGAGGGAGGTGGAAGAGGGTGGAGGGAGGTGGAAGAGGGTGGAGGGAGGTGGAAGAGGGGTGGAGGGAGGTGGAAGAGGGTGGAGGGAGGTGGAAGAGAGGGAGGTGGAAGAGGTGGAAGAGGGTGGAGGGAGGTGGAAGAGGTGGAGAGGTGGAGGGTGGAGGGAGGTGGAAGAGGGTGAAGGGAGGTGGAAGAGGGTGGAGGTGGAGGGAGATGGAAGAGGGTGGAGGGAGGTGGAAGGGTGGAGGGAGGTGGAGGGAGGGTGGAAGAGGTGGAAGGAGGTGGAAGAGGGAAGGGAGGTGGAATAGGGTGAAGGGAGGTGGAAGAGGGTGGAGGGAGGTGGAAGAGGGTGGAGGTGGAATAGGGTGGAGGGAGGTGGAAGAGGGTGGAGGGAGGTGTGAAGAGGGGAGAGTGAAGGGAGGTGGATGGAAGAGGGTGAGGGAGGTGGAAGAGGGGTGGAGGGAGGTGGGAGGAGGGAGGTGGAAGAGGGTGGAGGGAGGTGGAAGAGGGGTGGAGGGAGGTGTAAGAGGGTGCTAACGTGTATCACCTCAGAACTGGGCCAAACGGTCCTGGGTGCTGGCAGGTGTTTGTCCCATAGGCATGAGACCGTTAGGGACAGTGTGGGTAAATTGTACCTCCCTCCACACACCCCTCCCTCCACACCTCCTCCCTCCACCTGTACCCTCCACACCTCCTCCCTCCACTCCCCTCCTCCTCCCTCCACACCCCTCCCTCCCTCCACCTGTACCTCCACACCCTCCTCCCTCCACATACCCCCTCCCTCCAACCACCTCCTCCCTCCCTGTACCTCCCACACCTCCCTCCACCTGTACTCTCCCCCACACCCCCTCCTCCCCACCCCACCCACCCCTCCTGGTACCCTCCACACCTCCTCCCTCCACCTGTACCCTCCACACCACCACCCTCCACACCCCCCTCCCCTCCCCTCCACCTCCACCTTCCTCCACCCACCTCCACACCCCTCCCTCCACCTGCCCCTCCACACCCCCCTCCCTCCCACCCTCCACACACCCCTCCTTCCACACCCTCCCTCCACCTGTACCCTCCACACACCTCCCTCCACACACCTCCTCCCCTCCCCTCCACCTGCACCTCCACACACCCCCTCCCTCCACCTGCACCTCCCACACCCCCCTCCACCTGTACCTCCACACCCCCTCCCTCCACCCGGAAGGAGACACTCTGAGACCTGAAGCACACGCAACATCTCGCTTCAACGAATACATACAGTAAGTGTCTGAGAAGTGAGATAATTGTGAGAGAATTTGAGTGTGTGAGAGAAAAGAGAGAGAGAGAGAGAGAGAGAGAGAGAGAGAGAGAGAAGAGAGAGAGAGAGAGAGAACTATTTCCTACCCACTCTGGTTTGGATTATTATATTATTATTATTATTATTATTATTATTATTATTATTATTATTATTAGTAGTAGTAGTAGTAGTAGTAGCAGTAGTCTGACACCATCACTTGGTCATTTGGTCGAGACATAAAAATTCATCTTAGAAAATTGGTTCATTTTCCTGGCAGACAGTGAGCGGCGTTAGTTATTATACCTGTGTGTATATGGGTGTACCTGTGTATTGTGTACGTATAGTGATCTGCAGTGCACAGTTTAAGAGCAACGGAAGTGATGTTGAGGATTTAGAAAGCTCCCGTGACACACTGACTGAGCTCACACCACACCTGTTGGCACCAGACCAACCACACCTGTTGTTGGCACCAGACCTACCACACCTGTTGTTGGCACCAGACCTACCACACCTGTTGTTGGCACCAGACCTACCACACCTGTTGTTGGCACCAGACCTACCACACCTGTTGGCACCATACCTACCACACCTGTTGTTGGCACCAGACCTACCACACCTGTTGTTGGCACCAGACCTACCACACCTGTTGGCACCAGACCTACCACACCTGTTGTTGGCTCATAACACTCAAGATCACTGACTCATGCCTTGCTTATAACACTCAAGATCATTTGTCAAATTGCTTGGGTCGTTGTGTCATATTGTGTAATACAAAATTACAAAGATACTCTTTTGAGCGTGTGAATACTGCACTGTCTATATTAACATTGTTTGTATAAATAATAACGGTTGCCCCTCGTGTAACGAGGATGGCCGACCCAAGGTCCACCTAGGCGTGAATTTGTTTAAGATGTAAAAGCTGTCACCAACACAGCAACCACACCCTGAGTTAACGAGCTGCCTGACCCAGTGTCAAGGAATAGTCCGAGAAGACCGGACAACTCGCCAACTGCATTGGCTAACCATTACCCCGGAACACGATCCGCAAATCGATTAACACCCAGGTTCCCAATTACCGCTGGGTAGACAGAGGCAAATGGCGATAAGAAATCCTGCCCGGGGATCGAACCCGGGTCCAATCGCTTGTGAGGCGAGCATTACACCACAGGTCGCTGGCAATGTTTGTATACCTGCACTGTCTATCAACATATATATGCTGAATTAATGTAAACTTGTCAAACGTATTTGTTCAATAAATAAACATACATTTAATGTTATGATTCACTTGTTCTTATCCACCCAGCATTATCAGAGGGTCGGCGACAAAATGTATTGTGCGTCAAAACAACTATTTTAAACACCCAAATGATAACCTAACCTAACCGAACCTAACCGCAAGATTCTGGTATTTAGGGTAAATGTAAAAGCCGTTAATTAGAATATATTTAGAGATGTGTGAAGCTATTAATGACTGAACAGATGGTGTGTGTGTGTGTGTAGTGAAACTTTTTTATTACCTTCTGTTGCACTCTAAACCACAGTTGGATGAAGAACGTGTGTGTGTAACTCCAACTTACTTGACTCTTTTCCTTCTCACACACACACACACACACACCCACGCCAGAGCTGAGGACCATCTACAACGCCTTTATTCTCCCCAAACTAACGTATGCGTCACCATCCTGGTCGTCTTCTCTCAACTCCACCCAACAACGTCAGCTAGAGAAGGTTACAGAAAAGGGCCTGCAGAATCATGCTCGGCGCAGAATACTCCGGCTACACCAATGCTCTCTCCATCCTGGAAATGCCATCCCTCAGTGACCTCCACCACCAAGCACTGGAAAGGTTTGGCCGTGGACTACTGCACCACCCTAGCCATCGCCACCTCCTGCCACCGGCAGTCCCCCGCCCACCTCGCGCAGTCCGCCACTACAACAAAATTCAGCCCATAAGAGCCCGCACCGATAGATATAAGAACAGCACCATCCCAACTATTGTTAAAATAATAAACACCTCCTGATTTATGTACTGTACAGCCCTGTAAATGTATTCAATGCATATTATATCATTATGTCTAAATTAAATGTAAGTCTGTATATTTTCAGCCACCGGCTGCAACTCTATTAATAAACCGTTTATTATTACACACACACACATACAACTTGGTAAGACTAAACCAGTATCGGTATGTGTAAGGGTGGTTAATCTTCAGGTGAAACAAGGTGGGGAGTTAATCTTCAGGTGACACAATAGTCTCGACTGGTTATGACCGTGAAAGCTAGAGAGACAGTTGGAGAGTTTAAGTAAAGCACACTCTCTCTCTCTACTGGTGTGAGCAGACACGTGAATAATTATAGGAGAGGGAGGGGAGGGGGGAGTGAGGGAGGGGTGGTAGTAGTGAGAGAGGGGGGGAGGGAGGGGAAAAGGAAGGGAGGGCAGTAGTGAGGGAGGGAAGGAGAGAAAGAATGGGGCGACGAGAGAGAGGCCACGAGAAAGATCACTACCCCGTAAGCCGCCAGTAGCTTCTCGGCCTCCTTACCACACACCCCTCACCAGTCAGCGCTCCGCCATGCTCCGACAGTGACCGAGACTAGATATATAGTGACATAGATTACTTGTGATTATTATATAGTGCCTGGGAAAGACGTCTTGTGTATAGTATAGTGAACAATTGTACTTCGCTAATTAAACCCTCCAGCTTCTGACGCCTTAAGTATAAGTGGTAAGTAAAAGACGCCCGAACACTTATAAATCCTTCTCGTTAACAATTAAACACCAGGATGTTATATTATCTACTTAACATGTTAGTGGAGAACTCTATAACAACATGATATATATATATTTACATGTTACTGAAGAACAAACATGATATTTTTGACAACTCACTCTCTCTCTCTCTCTCTCTCTCTTGTAACATGTTTTGACTCTTCTGATTGTTTAGCGAGTCAGCCAATCAGATTCTGTTGGCCTGATAGTCGTCAATCAATGTATCATGATTCGTCCTCATCAGACAGGGAGAAAGACAGAAATAGATCGCGGTACATACAGACACAGTAGCTAGACGGGGAGAGAGAGAGAGATAGACAGACAGACAGAGAGGAATAGACAGACAGGCAGAGCACAGTAGCTAAATAAACAAAGACAGAAAGAGCGAGAGAGAGATAGACAAAGACAGACAGATAGACGACACACACTAGCTAGACAAACACACAGAAAAGAGACAACAGATAGACAGAGTGATAGTGACAGACAGACACAGACAGACAGACGGACGGGGTGTATACAGTGAGGATCATCATTACTGGGTCAGTCGGTCAATGGCTCCAGGCTAGGCAACAACTTCCCTCAACTATTGTCACGCTTTCTCGTCTACCCTAACTACTGTATACCTGACCTAACCCTAACTACTGTATACCTGACCTAACCCTAACTACTGTATACCTGACCTAACCCTAACTACTGTATACCTGACCTAACCCTAACTACTGTATACCTGACCTAACCCTAACTACTGTATACCTGACCTAACCCTAACTACTGTATACCTGACCTAACCCTAACTACTGTATACCTGACCTAACCCTAACTACTGTATACCTGACCTAACCCTAACTACTGTATACCTGACCTAACCCTAACTACTGTATACCTGACCTAACCCTAACTACTGTATACCTGACCTAACCCTAACTACTGTATACCTGACCTAACCCTAACTACTGTATACCTGACCTAACCCTAACTACTGTATACCTGACCTAACCCTAACTACTGTATACCTGACCTAACCCTAACTACTGTATACCTGACCTAACCCTAACTACTGTATACCTGACCTAACACACTCAAAGTTTGAAAAATATTCCTACAGGTGTAGTGAACGAGATCCTACGTGTGTATTGGTGAAGTGTATTCTTGTATACATAAGCATACACACGTACGTATACACACACACACATGCAAACATATATACGTATACATATACACACTCTGTTGTGTGTATTACAACAATTGTTGTATGTAATGACGTCATGAAACTTTGGAGTTGTGTGATTGGCTACTGACCTCAGACATATTCCTTCCGAGGACGAATAGACGAGTGAGCTTTCCTCCTCCTTGTACCTGTAATGGGAAAAGTAAACCTTGTATTATTATTATTAATATTCACCGAGAATTTATTTAGGTTAAGTGAGCAGAGAGAGAGAGAGAGAGAGTTTTTGTCATATTTGGAGGGTCATTATTCACGATTGTAGTAACAGACACACACCGTTAACCGGAGCCGTTGGGTTAAGTTAGCCAGGTGTGTGTGGAGGGCCGCGAGCATATACACACCGTTGTAATATCAACAGATGGGAGCTGTGACGTGTTGTATTACTGTGTGGTGGTGGTAGTTGTTGTGGTGGTGGTAGTAGCTGTTGTCGTTGTTGTTGTTGTATGTTTTTCCTTGCTACAGGTTATGTATAAACAAAGAGAAGTAAAGTGGGTGTAGAGTCAGTAGTCAGTTCTCAATCACACATGACTTGGCAGGAAATGTTCGCTGTCATGATAGTATGGAGAGAGAGAGAGAGAGAGAGAGAGAGAGAGAGAGAGAGAGAGAGAGAGAGAGATACTGTAACAGACGAACCTACTGTACGTAGCATTTTGTTAGTATTTCATAAGTATTGGTCTCCCGGATGAGTGACTGATAGAGCTCCTGCGTTACTGTGTTTGTGTGATGTAACATGAAGTTAATCCTTTACTTTAACCTAAGCTTAACTCAGTCTAACTAAACATAATCCAACCGAAGCTTACTTAACCTAACCTTGGTTAATTTAATTAATCCAAAACTAACCCAACCTAATTTTACCCAATATGATAAAACACAGACCAACCTGATCTACTGCCACCATTAGAACTAGGACCCATTAAAATTGGGACCCATTACAACTGCGACCCATTAGAACTAGGACCCATTAGAACTGGGACCCATTAGAACTAGGACCCATTAGAACTAGGACCCATTATAACTGCGACCCATTAGAACTGGGACCCATTAGAACTAGGACCGATTATAACTGGGACCCATTATAACTGCGACCCATTGGAACTGGGACCCATTATAACTGGGACCCATTATAACTGCGACCCATTATAACTGGGACCCATTAGAACTAGGACCCATTAGAACTAGGACTCCATTACAAACTGGGACCCAATAGAACTGGGACCCATTAGAACTGGGACCCATTATAACTACGACCCATTATAACTAGGACCCATTAGAACTGGGACCCATTAGAACTAGGACCCATTACAAACTGGGACCCAACAGAACTGGGACCCATTAGAACTGGGACCCATTAGAACTGGGACCCATTATAACTAGGACCCATTAGAACTGGGACCCATTAGAACTGTGACAGAAGGAGTGGGAGGATGGGAGTGACAGAAGGAGGTGGGAGTGACAGGAGGAGTGACAGGAGTGTGGGAGTGACAGAAGGAGTGTGGGAGTGATAGGAGGAGTGTGGGAGTGACAGAAGGTGTGGGAGTGACAGGAGTGTGGGAGTGACAGAAGGAGTGTGGGAGTGACAGGAGGAGTGCGTCACATATGTTAACAGCAAACGACAGCAAATGAGTGAAACAAACAGACTCATATTTACAACCAAAAGAAAGCTGGACTTGTATCAGTAGCCACAGCTCACCCGCCAGTATTGCCAACCACAAACATGACGCTGGATGGCTGCTTCAGTGGGCCCTAGTCCTAATGGGCCCCAATCCTAATGAGCCCTAGTCTTAATGGGCTCCAATCGTAATGGGTCCTAGTCTTAATGGGCCCTAGTCCTTATTGGACCCAATCCTAATGGGCCCTAGTCCTAATGGGCCCCAATCCTAATGGGCCCCAATCCTAATGGGCCCTAGTCCTAATGGGCCGCAGTTCTAATGGATCCAAGTCCTAGTGGATACCGGTCCTAAGATAACAGGATGTGTCTATGTGTGGGTGTGGCGGCGGGGTGATCTTGCAAGCGTTGAAGATCCTGTTGTTAGCCGCTGCCTTCAGGGCAAAAACGGAACATTGAGCCCAAGTTCATGGCCTCTGACACACACACACACGAACACACACATGAGCACACACACACTTTCACTGTTGATACTAAATCACGACGGTCACAAGGCAGTAATCCGGTTCACGTCAGCATCTACACTCACTGTCGTAGGCCGCACCACAAGTAGGCCGACCGACTCTCTCTCTCTCTCTCTCTCTCTCACTCTCGGAAACCACAAGTTGGCCGACACAGTTTTCTCTCTCACAACTTTCAAGGTTATTGGAACACGTCACACGTCACACACGTCCAGCCACACCCCCCCCACACACACGTCCAGCCACACCACACCCTCCCACACACACGTCCAGCCACACCCCTCACCACACACACACGTCCAGCCACACCACCCCTCCCACACACACGTCCAGCCACACCACACCCTCCACACACACGTCCCACACACGTCCAGCCACACCACACCCTCCCACACACACACGTCACACGTCCAGCCACACCACACCCCTCCACACACACGTCCAGCCACACCACACCCCCTCCCACACACACGTCCAGCCACACCACACCCTCCACACACACGTCCAGCCACACCCCTCCCCACACACACGTCCAGCCACACCACACCCTCCCACACACACGTCCAGCCACACCACACCCTCCCACACACACGTCACACACACACACCACCTCCCACACACACGTCCAGCACACACACCCCTCACACACACGTCCAGCCACACCACACACACACACGTCCAGCACACACGTCCAGCCACACACACACCCCTCCCACACACACGTCCAGCCACACCACACCCCTCCCACACACGTCCAGCCACACCACACCCCTCCCACACACACGTCCACAGCACACACACCCTCCCACACACACGTCCAGCCACACCACACACACCCTCCCACACACACGTCCAGCCACCACACCCCTCCCCACACACACGTCCAGCCACACCACACACACACTCCAGCCACACCACACACACACACGTCCAGCCACACCACACCCACACACACGTCAGCCACACCACCCCTCCCACACACACGTCCAGCACACACCACACCCTCCCCACACACACGTCCACCACACCAGCCACCACACACACACGTCCAGCCACACCACACCCCCCCACACACGTCCAGCCACACCACACCACACACACGTCCCCACACACGTCCAGCCACCACACCTCACACACAGCCACACACACCCTCCCACACGTCCACACACCACACCCCTCCCACACACACGTCCAGCCACACCACACCCACACACACGTCCAGCCACCACACCTCCCACACACGTCCAGCCACACCACACCCCCCCCACACACACGTCCAGCCACACCACACCCTCCCACACACACGTCCAGCCACACCACACCCCCCACACACGTCCAGCCACACCACACCTCCCACACACGTCCAGCCACACCACACCCCCCCACACACCCAGCCACCCACACACACACACGTCCAGCCACACCACACACACCTCCCACACACGTCCAGCCACACACCCCACACACACGTCCAGCACACACGTCCAGCCCACACCCCACACACACGTCCAGCCACACCACACCCCCCCACACATTGTACCTCTTTCTTGTTTACTTTTGCCTGAGTGTTGTTGAACGAGGCAGCTGCCGTAACAGTGTAGGTGACAGCTGTCTGTAGTAACGGTCTGACACACAGTTTATACAGAAGATATTTACACATGTTACTGTTTATAGATGTGTGCTGATGCTGCCATAGAGGGGCACTAAGAAGGGAGATTAACAGCCGTGCAGCTTATCATTGAGCCCCAACATGACCTCTACACTGACGGTAAGCTGGACACCCGAGGGTTAGGCACCTCAGCTTATTTTACCTGAAGATTATCCCCCAGCTTATGTCATCTGAAGATTAAGTACCCTAATTGTGTACCTGGGGAATTGAGTTACGTTATCGATAGGTTAGGTTAACAATGGGGTGTTTAATGTTCAGGTCATCCCTTACAAACATATTATATTACCAACAGACTCTACTGATGGTGGTGATGGTGGTCATGGTGGCAGCAGAGGAGATGCCAACTGAAGAGGAGGAGGACGTGGCACCTTATGACACGCCCGTGGCAGAAGAGAGAGTGTCACATGACCACAATAACCATAATGAGACATTATCCCCAGCTGAGGAACTGTTAAGAGCAGCAGAGGCGGCAGGTATGGTACAGTACTGGTATTGTGTAGTGTTGATGTTATTGTGTTTATGGTGTATAGTGACCCTGACCTGACTTAACCACACCTCTCCCCTCACAGGTTATGACTTGACTCTCCAACGCCTCGATATAGCCGCCGCTGCGACAGATCTGGAGGTGGAGGAGATGATGCCAGCGCCGGTCGCCGAAGCTTTCATTGCTCATCGCCGCATGGACAATTTTGACAGGATACGCGAACAAATGATTGGAATGATTTTTACTGGGAAACCTCAGCCGCTAGTGAGTGATGCCCTGACTCCTCTCCTCAATCTCGTAGTCAAATGAGAAACTGTCCTGACTTAATTTGAAACGGTGGTAGGAGGTGGTGGTGACAAGGGGTGGTAGGAGGTGGTGGCAAGGATGGTAATGACAGTGGGTAGTGGTACAGTCAAACTCACTACAGTACAACCTAACATCTTATTTTTTCCCCTATGTTCGCCAGGGCTTCAGACCTCGCCGACCAGCCATGTCCCGCTCTCCTCCTCCTCCCCACAACTTCAGGAGTAACCAGCCGGGGAGGTTCCATGTGAGTGTTGGAGTGTGTTGGAGGGAGTTGGAGTGTTGGTGATTAATTAAGGTCTCCAACAGCATTCATTGTACAGTCATTAAAAAAATTATATATACAAAATTGTGTAAAAAAAACATATGACAACAGACGAAGGATTTTGACAACAGTACTGAGACAACAGGAGTCACGTCATTAACAGATGTAGTATTAAAGGTATAAAGACCCAACCATATCAATAGTGTTGGTGTTAGTTTTAATCTGAATTTAAATTTATTTTACAGGCGCAATACAACCCCCAAGGTGAGCCCAGCATCCACGACATCAGAAGTAGGTTTATTGTGAACATTTTACTTGTGTACTGAGAGGGGGGGTGTCAGGTATGTACTGTCAATAATGTAAGCTTGAGGAGACGAGTTCCCTATTTCAGACAGTTATACAGTATTGACTCCACACTGTAACTTAGCCTAACCTAACCTAAATAAGCTTAATGCAATGCAGCTAAGTTTAACTTAGTCTAACCAAATTTAATCTAACTAAGCCTAGTCTAACCGATCCCAGTCAAACTTAACTTAATCTAACCAAATTTAACCTAATCTTAAATTTAATCAAACCAAGCCCAGTCAAGTTTAACCTAGTCTAGCCCAACCCAACTCAAGCCAATCATAAACTAACTTAATTTTAGTTAACTGGTTTACTTAAGATAACACACAACTAAAATACGTCCCCCTCCACCCCACATGACCCCCTCCATCACCCACGTCCCCCTCCACCACCCACGTCCCCCTCCACCACCTGTCCCTCTCCACCACCCACGTCCCCTCCACCACCCATGTCCCCCTACATCACCCGTCCCCTCCACTACCCACGCCCCTCCACCCCCCCCTCCACCACCACATGACCCCTCCACCACCCACGTCCCCTCCACCCCATGACCCCCTCCACCACCACGTCCCTCCACCACCCACGTCCCCCACCACCCGTCCCTCTCCACCACCCACGTCCCCTCCACCACCCATGTCCCCTACATCACCCGTCCCTCCACCACCCACGTCCCCCATCACCCACGTCCCTCCACCACCCACGTCCCCCTCCACCACCTACGTCCCCCCATCACCCATGCTTTAATGGATCACGTGAAGATTAGACATTAGCCTAATCCAACCTGACATAACCTAACGCAACTTACTGCTAACTTAATATATCATGGCCTTACGCTACCTTAACCCATCAATAACCTATACTAACTCCAACCTCACCTAACGCCAACCTAACCTTCCAGGTATCATTAGGGTGTTTAATCTTCAGGTGAAATAAGCTGAGTTGTGTAACGTTCAGGTGATTTGGTTTACCGTAAAGAATGTTGGTAGTGTGTGAGTAAAGTAGAGGCAGGGAGTGGTCCAGGAGGGGTATAGGTGACCTTCACCTCGTGTTGTCTTGTCTTGTAAATAAACACACACTCTGACCTCCCTGTTGCTCCCCCCAGAGGTGCCAGCACCAGACAAAATCCTGAAGCCGTTGCCATTCGCACCAGGCCCGACTATGGTCAAGTTCCCACACCCTCCGCCCCGTCATCACCCACCCACCGCCCCGTCGCGACAGTCAACAGGACCTGTACCAGATTTCAGTAACACCGTCGGTCCAGATTTTGGTCCAGTTACCATTAATGACTTCAATGGTAACTTTGGATTTGACAACTTTAAAAACAACTTTGGCGACTTCAACTCCGCTAACTCACCACCAATTAGACCTCCACCTCCTGCCCACCGCCCACCACCACCAGCTCCACATCGACCTTCCCCGCCTCGGCCAGCACCCCGCCCTTCTCAAGCTAGGCCTGCCCCTCGGCCAGAGCCAACCCGGCATAGACCTCGTCCTAGACCAAGCCACAGCCGACCAGGAGGTTTCGGCAATATCGGGTTTGGTGGGTTTAGTGGAGGTGATGAAAGTTGTGTGAAGTATACTGATGACATCTGCCTTGACACTGAGAGCTACCCACAGTAAGTCATGAGGTACTCCTGCAAGATGTTTACTGAGTCCTTTGATGTTTGTGTTTACTGAGTCCCTTGATGTTTGTGTTTACTGAGTCCTTTGATGTTTGTGTTTACTGAGTCCCTTGATGTTTGTGTTTGCCGAGTCCCTTGATGTTTGTGTTTACCGAGTCCCTTGATGTTTGTGTTTACGGAGTCCCTTGATGTTTGTGTTTACTGAGTCCCTTGATGTTTGTGTTTACCGAGTCCCTTGATGTTTGTGTTTACTGAGTCCCTTGATGTTTGTGTTTACCGAGTTCTTTTATGTTTTTTGTGTTGTCAACAGTGAAGCGATCCTGTCATCACTGGTACGTGACCCCTCCCGCGCTGACAACATGATGGCTGAGGTCAGGTCACAAAGCGCAGATGAATTGATAGACGGCGTGACCTCATCCCAGGAGGCAAAGTACAACTACCAGCACTACTTTGGCAACAGGTACGACCAGGTAGTCACATTATACGACCAGGTATAGTTTGGTTCGAAAACTCGTTCCAGCATTTCAGAGTTTCATTGCAACAGTTCAAAGACTCATGCCAGCTGTGGTGAGACTGAGTGGCAGGAATGTGTCTCCCTACTGACTGACCCTGACTGTCATCTGGCACCTGCTTGCTGGTTTAACTCATTTGGAGTCAAAACTACTTTAATTTGGAGGCCCAGGGAGGAAGCAAACTTAATTTCATTATGAAGATTAATGATGTGTCCTTATATATACATTGATCGCATTCTGTGTAATGTTAAACAATATATATCCTGACCTGTGTGTGTGTGTGTGAGACGACTTTTACTTAATAAATGTGTGTGTGTATTTATTCACTTATGTACTGTATTTATCAATCTATCTATCCTAAAGACGCGCTGATACGGTCAGTCATGCCCACCGAGATTTTGCTCAGGATGGAGGGTTCTTGTGTCCAGCTGAAGTGAAATATGCCCGACCAAAAAGAGCAAGGAATTCAAAGGGTGCTTGGAAGTTCATTGTTAATATGGACAAATATTCACAGACTATTAGAATGGAGAAATGCATGTAAGTATTACTTAGCTTAACCTATCCTAACTTAACCTGGCCTAGTCTAACCTCACTTTCCCTAACCTAACCTAATGTAACTTAATAAAAAACAATCTAACTTAACATAATCTAGCCTAACCTACTATAATCTCATCTGAAATAACTTCATGCAAAATTATTTAGCTTAACAATACCTGATAACATAATGTGACATAACCTAACTCTTCCCTAACTCCTACAGGAAACCCGGAGGAGCCTGTAGCTACGTATCCCACCACTACCGTGCCACCTGTAACCAAATCTACAATTACCACCGCCTGTTGTCCTGGGAAGAGGGCCGCGGTCTACACATGGATATCTTCAAGGTGATGAATACCGAATGTGGTTCAACTGTGTCAAATAGTGGAGCATATCTATATCTCTTTATCTCCCTTACATATCTAACTTTGTCTAATCTCCTTATTAATACCTGTAAATCTATCTATTATGAAGTAGTACTCCAAGGGAACCACAAACGTTTTTAATGGTGAGTTAAATACACTGATCTAACAGTCTAAAGGGACAAGGTTCTAGAGATACATAAGGGATGAGCATTGTTTAACGAGTACTGTACTGTACAGACTATACGTACATCAATTGATACTGTGAGGGCGCGTGTTTTCCAACACCCACACCACCCTCATCTTACTTACTTCTCTTAGTTCTTACTCTTACTCAGTTCTGTCACCTATTCTTTTGGTAGCATGGTCGAGGGTCTAGGCACGTGGGTATGGTAATTCTGGTATCAAGTCACTTGGATGGAAATAAAGGTAAAATACTCATTCAAAGATGACCCTCAGTTGACAAAGGTCTGGCGAATTACTTGAGTTGATACACACAGACTAATTCAAGATTGAGCTTCCCAGGAGAAAGTGGAATAAGCTATGCATTGATAACTGTCTTCACAAAGTCGGGACTCTGGGAGGGAAACAAGTGTAGAGTCTATGGGGAAAAACAAGTCTTCTCGGGGTCGCTAACTCACTCATGTTTTGCGGTCATGGAGTTTAATAAGAATCATTAGTTAAATAGATCAGCAGTCAACGTGACCATGACAATACAAAGTTGACAGAATAAGTCCAATTTACTAAACACATATAAATGACAGAGAACAAGTGCTAAGTTAAACACAAAGTAGAATAATGCGAGAAACATGAGGCTTTATCACCAAGTCTCCACGATGGGTTGGTCTGTCTCCCTGGTGATTTTACCGAGAACTGAGATATCCACGCATGCTAACGTGTGGTCGTGTTTGTGGGCATGGTTATACGGATAGTGGAGTGAGGTGATTGGGTGATTAAGAACAGGACAATCTTAGTGCTGGTGGATGTGTCTTTAAGTGTGTGTGTGTATCTATGTTCTGCTAATATATGCATACAACTATATTTGTTTACCTCAGGTGCCCAGCTGTTGTTCGTGTCACATACAAGGATATGCTTACGTGTTCCCGCCACTCAACAAGCACCAGAACTTAGCCGGGTCAGAACAGGTCATTCATACAGTACCAGCACCTTCGAGTGACCCAGAGGAGCAAGAGGGACGTGACACACAAGGCGAGTTGAAATACCTATTAATCTATGATAATGTCGAGACTTTTAATATGGTGTTGAAATATGTAATATGTTTTTTAGTTAATTAATTACTTACAGACAAGCTACCAGGCCTCTCCTTATCCCTGCAATGGGTTGCAGGGACAAAAGTAACAGAATGAATGCACCTGTATCATAGGAGGGAGGGTGTAGGTCCAGTATCAGGGAAAAAAAGGCCACAAGCAGTCTTCATGTCAACTGCATTATTGTGTACTAAACCAATATGAGATGGGACCCACAGAAACTTTATAACAGGTTCTCACGAGCTAAAGCCAAAAGCTGTGTTATATGTTGGACTAAATGGAGGTGTTGAAATACGTATTTTAACAGGTGTTGATATCCCTCAGGCTTCACCCCTGTCAACAGACACCCCGGCGGCCAGCGCTCACCGCCACGATCACAATTACCTGCTAGATCAGGTCCCCATCCAGGCCATGACTTGCACAGGTGAGTCATCCTCCTCCAAGTCTAAACCATTATCTCCTCCACCTCCTGCATGATCACCATTACAGTGGGGTATGCTATAACAAATGGATTCTACTACGAATATTCCTATAACGAACGGTTTTACCTATAAAATTGAGAATGCTATAACGAACGAAACTCCTACGAATTTTTTTTCTTCTAATTTATTGGTTTTTTTATTGCAAGTATTAATGATATTCTTTATTTCAGGGGTTTAGATGCATATTTATGCTTTTTTTTACAATTTTTACAATTTTATATTAGATTTTTAAGTGTTAAGTGGTTGTATTTGGGGGCCTGGAACGGATTAATCCTATAACGAACAAGGTTCTAGAACCAATTAGATTCGTTACAGCATACCCCACTGTACTTCTTCCACATGTAGAAGCCAGCAGTTGGCTGTGATACACAGTTTCAGCAGAACCACATTTATCAGTTGCTGGACTCGCCTGGAGGAAGAGATTTCCAAACATTCAAGTTACTTATATGTGTAACTAGACTTGAGCAAAGCAAAGCTGACCAAGTACAGACCAATGGTAACCCAAATATTGTTCTAGGCTTGATGCCTCACTAGATGAGGGTGTAATTATCTCACACTTAACCTAATTTCAAGTAGCTCTGCAGGGGCACCAACCAACCTCAATGACTTGGACAAATCTTGGAACTCTTACTTTTAGGTTTATGAATGATTCTTAGTCAGTGTTCTTCCAAGCTAAACAAACACACATTACATGTGATGTTATATTCAAATTTTACCTGTACAATAATTTAACGCATAAATTACATTCATCACGTCACTGTATGACCACCAGATACAGTCAACCCTCACTTTACGCGGTTAATGTAACCCGCAGGGTCCCGCGGAAAGTGAGGAACGCGTAAAGTGAATAACATAACATATGGGATTAATTGAAATAGAGTCCGGGCCGACCCCCAAACTCCACTTTCTGACGACACACAACTATATTGTAGTAAAAATTTTATCTTAACTTTATGATGGTATGAAAAAATAAGTAATATAGAAGAGGTTAGGTTAGGAAAGATAAAGGTTAACATAGGAAAAATAAAGAATAGGTTAAAAAACGAAAAATTTTGTGGAACACTTACGGTAGTAGAAGAGATGGGTCGGCATACGGGGATGGAGGCTGGTTCCGAGGCAGAGGGCAGATTACTGGCCCTCAGGTGAATCACCATTACTAGGTGAATCATCATCACTGTCACTTACAGTTGTCAGGGCTTCCCTGACAAATCCCTCAAAGTCATCTTCACTGTCACTATCATTGGCTTGGGCTGGCTGTGGTGGGTTGCGGGTGAAGAAATCTGTTATGCTTTGCTGACGGCTGGTGTTGATGTTGTCATGATACACCTTGATGTAGGGCTCCATAGTCTGCAACAGCTGGGTAGTGAAGATTTCATACCTGTTTGCGTCAGGGTCGTCGGAAAGGAGGAGCTTGGCTTTCTCGATACACTCGATGGCATCCCTAGCATTACTATGGGATAAGTGTTGTTCTTCTTGGGATGACACACCACCTGCCTCTTCACTGACGTCGTCATCATCATCATCATCTACCATCTCCTCGGTAGTCACATCAGGTTCCATTATCACCTCCAGGATGTCATTGTTGGTGGTCTCGGAGAAGCCTGGAACTGTAACAGTCTGCGCAGCTTCTCTGGCAAGGTCCACTGCTACTGCAACAGTCTGAACCTCACCAGTCACAGATTGACTCCTCCTCTCACCTGGTATTCCATGCAACACATGTCTCCATGCGTGACGAATTGTAGCAATAGACAGCTGATCCCATGACTCCACCAAGAAGTTCACAGCTTTCTTGATGTTAAATACTCTCCAGAATTGTTTGAACAGTATTTTTTGCTGTGCCAACTGTTGATCCTCATCATCTTCGCTCTTGCTATCGGTGGTGGTGTCACTCAGGTTGCGCAACTCTTCCCTGGTGTTGGTGTAGTCGTTCAGGAGTTTGAATTTTTTCGTAGAGAATGCAGCTTTTACATTACAGATTAACACTTGGTCCATGGGCTGTAATATAAACGTAGTGTTGGGAGGAAGGAAGACCACTTTTACGTTGGGGTGACGATCTAACAGTAGGGGCGAGTGTCCTGGTGCGTTGTCCAGCAGCAACAAAATCTTGAATGGCACATTCTGTTGCTCACAGAATTTCTTTACATCGGGAACAAAACAGTCATCAAACCAGGAGAGGGACAGAGTAGAGAACATCCACGCCTTACGTGCGGTCAGCCAGTGGACATTTAGCGTGCGGCTTGCGTGCTGTGTGGATCACCGATAACTTGAGCTTACTGGTACCGGAGGCATTGGTGGTAAACAGGACGGTGATGCGTTCCTTCTGCATCTTCTGGCCCCGAATCTTGCTGGCATTCTTTACAACGAAGGACTTGGAAGGTAGCTTTTTCCAGAAAAGACCAGATTCGTCCATGTTAAACACCTGGTCGTCGGTGTACTGTCCTTCCTCCATAATCTCACGTAAAAACGGAGGAAATTCCCTAGCCGCAGCACGGTCAGCACTCGCTTCTTCACCACCAATGTTTATATTGGTGATCTTGTTCCGGATCTTAAACCTCTGTAACCACCCAGAGGAAGCATTAAAGGGTTTGGGCTCTGAAGTTCCCATCTTTCGTGCCACTGCACTGTACAGTTCACGTGCGTAGTCCTTAACAGAGCGTGTCGACCGCCATGTTCCGTCGCGCCTGACGCACCAAGTACCTCACAAGTAATTTTTCTGTCTTGAGAAGCACCTGGTTGTGAAAATACTTGATCATAGAAGCACCTGTAGACTTTGTGATCTTCATGTGCTCCTTTATCTTGGCTGCATCCTTCTTTATTGTTCGAATCGTAGATTCTTTCACACCATGCTGGCGCGCCAAATCAACCTGCCTTGTTCCTTTCTCCAACTCTTGGATGATGGTACACTTCACCTCGTAGCTTAAGGAACGTCGTGTCTTCTTTGGCTTAGTGCCGCTGGGTCCAGGTAAGGAAAGGTTTCTCTCTGGGGGTGGTGGTCCGGCGGAAGCCATTTTAGAGAACAATGGATGCACGTTTACACGGTCTGGTGTGGAGGGATGAAACTGGCGCGGCTAGGTCAAGAATCATCTTTCCTCCCTCCCTCCCTCACCCGGGTGGACACGTCATAATACTTTAAGCCAATTACAGCTAGCAACAGAGGGGGGTAGGGATGCATGGCCAATCACAGTCCGATACGTCATATGACGTCAGTGATAATGCATCAAAGACACACTGCGCAACCTTACAACGCGGCTTGCCCAAGCGGAGGGAGGAGGAGGGAGAGGCGAGGAGAACAGGCAGGCAGGCGGGTGGGGCGAATCTAAAAATAGTGTCGCGCCGGACACTCTCCGCGTAATGGGGTTCACGCACCGCGTAATGTGAGCACGTTAGGTTCTGGCAAGGCACCGCGTTAACGTGGAAACGCGGAATGTGGGACCACGCAAAGTGAGGGCTGACTGTACAATGAAATATCCACAGCATCAACCCTTATTTAGTAACTCACATCATATGAGAATTTCTTCCACCAACCAGTCAAGCGGAAACGATACCATTCATTTTGTCTGAGTGATACTCTCTAGGAAAGATGACAATTCGTGGAAAAAATTACAGAAAATCGGAGTTGACACAAATCCATTACAATATTTATGTTACTTCCATACAAAAACATAATCTATTTTACGTCTAAGGGTGTGGTGTATTTTGAGATGCCGAGCAATTTTGGAAATTGAACTTTTATCTGTAATATTATTACAATTGACAACTGTTATCAAAATAATTGTATGCATTTTCTAAAACAAATCCAATTACATTTGGTGCAGACATTGTTTTATGCAGAGTAAATAATTACAGACCAGTGTACACGAACGTACTCTTACCAAAACCATTTATTCCTGGAACAACATATTACTACTTGCTCTTATTCAATAATTATAACATTATGAGCACTACCATTGATGATGCTATACATATAACCAAGTCTTAACTGTTCTAGTACTTTGTATTCAGAACCAGTATGTATTCTGGGAGGAGCATTAATCTCATTATTTTGTTTGCTTGACCTGCATCTTATCCTTCATTTTCTTTTTAAGGCCACTACACTACACTACACCATTATGAACAAGCATAATCATAATGACATTGACTTAATCTAAATACAAGAAGAATTTTGCAGTATGCCTATAGACCTATTTGAATTTATTATCACCCTTAAAGAGTACTTTCTAATATTATTGCTGTTCTTTCTCTTTCTATTAATATTATTAAACTTTAAAAGAAATCATTAAACTAGTTTACTTTCTCATTTACTTAAATTTAACTTTAGGAAAAGAGACTCCAGTTATTCTCAGTCAAATAAGTCAGAATGTTAAGAGTTTAATCAAGAGAGGCAAGTCGGAATAAGTCCAAGTTAGGTTTTAAGTCCACAAAAATAAGGACACTTGCCAGCCTCAAGTCCTCATCTCTGCTATTGTCATTATTCAACCCTTTATCCTTAACCAAACACACCCATATACTAAATACTTTGATTGACCTACAGCAGGATGCAGGAAGTGGAACAGTCCCACCAACAGGAGCCACCACAACACCCTACCCAGAGACTTACACCAAATCCTTCACGTGAGACAGCTCGTGCTAGGAATGGTGACGACAGAGTCAACTATGGCTACCATCCTATCATTGACTTTTTCACCCCATACAGGATTCAGTAGTAGATGTGTGGTGATGTTAAGTGTGCATGTGTTTGTGGTGGTGTTAAGTGTGTGTATGTTTGTGGTGGTGTTAAGTGTGTATGTATGTTTGTGTTGAGTGCATGTGTGTTTGTGGTGGTGTGTGCAAGTATGTTCATTACCTAGAGCAGTGATTCTTGGGCAAGGGCCGTCATGTTGGGCCATCATGTTTTTACCTTATTTCCTGCCCTTCACTTTCTAGTAATGTTATGACCTCGCCCTACCCTACCCACCCTGCCCGGCCTTGCCCTATACTACCTTGTGTTTTCGTTTTAAATTATTATATTATTTGTGTGATAATAAACATCGTTACCAAATACTGTTTCTGAACCACTTGACACATTGCGAGTCGTTCCCATTGGCGGAACAGTATGAATAAGAGTGTATACGGTAGTTAACTTTAGGCACTGTACTTGACTGCCTTCACTTTACAATTGTTAAGTTAGGTACCCATTTATGCAGACCGACAGGTAGATAGATTTAGATATGTATTCAGCAACCATTATGACAGGAGGCAAGTGCTGTATCCATTGGGCCACTGAACCATCTTCGAGCTCTCGCAAGACTGTGGTTGAACCTTCTGAGAATGAGGGAGGAGTTATGCCTCAAACACCTGGGACTTCACCACCTCCTCTCTATCAATGACTGAACTTTATACTGGCAAGTGACATGCATAACTTTCATCAGAACACCTGAAAACAGTTTTGGAACCTTAGTTTTTTCACCTAAAGATGAACCACCCTAATAATAATTTAACCCCCTCAGGTAGCATAGGATGGTTAAATATAAAGTGAAATAAATTTGGGTGTTAACCTTCAAGTGATTCTTTTCACCAATTGTCTTGTAACCTGTAATGTTAAAGTAATAAAACCAACTTATCAATGTGGGGGTCTGAAGATGTTAAGTAAACAAATACATCGTTGAAGCCTTTAATAGTAAGCACGGTTCTCATAGATGACAAGACATCACTGGACTCGAGAGGTGAGAGAAAAAATATTTGCGAGTGTTTAGTAAGCTTTTGAAACTTAACCGAGTAGTCCTCAATTTCAGCAGTTTATAGCTTTAATGTGCTAATACAGCCACATCAGATTCCTTATAATTTTTAGAATGTATCTGAATAACCAGATGAGTTAGTTGACTTTCAGTATTTAGTCAAACATCTCAACTTGTTGAGTCACTGTGTTCAGAGTTAACCCATCGGTCCTTAATGTTTACATGGGCCTTCCACGTCCCCTGCCGGCCACAGGTGGACCATCAGCACTCGATCGTGGTGATCTGATCGTTTCATCGACAGACAGGATCAGACAAGCCGCCTCCGAAGCAGCAGTTAGGGCATTGATCTTTACAATTGCCGGTTCCCAAACACAAGCTACAAAATTGTCTGCAATATCTTCATTCATGACGTCGACCCCATACCATTTACCGCCTGTAAAAAAAGATTCATTAGTTACATCCCTGGAGTGTTTGTAGCCACCCTTTTCAGATCTGGTAACTGAAAATTAAAACAATAAAAAATTAATGGCAATATGGCACTGGGCACTCTCAGTTACCAACCCCCTTTAGGGGTGTTTTGTAGTGAATAAAATAGCCAAAGGCTATAATACAGGAGGAGCTGTCCCGGTGTTACACGCATTCACTTATTATTATAGAAGATTAATATTCTGATGCAAATGTTCAACACAGTTAAATGCTTCTGTTATTTACTGGGTCATGAAAGTCATAAGAAGACAATATTTAGAGACTCCAGACAACGCTGCCCGTCAGAGAAGTCTACCCGAGAAACGCTACGGTAAGACACACATAAATCCTGTGGCAGCCAGAAAATACAGTAAAGTAATGGTAGAGAACACATCTGAAGCTGTTTTGTTGTTTGTTTCCTTATGAGGAGACAAACAACAGGAGTGCCTCATATATCAACGTACCCTCAGCGTGACGAGCTCTCAATTTATTAAGGATGGTAGTGGAGTCAAAACCTGCGTTATCACACAACTGCCTAGGGATCACTTCCAGGGCCTTTGCGTACGCTGCCAGAAACAGTTGTTCTTTGCTGGCAATTGTTCGAGAGTATTCCCTGAGGTGCTTGCTTACTTCCAGCTCGACTGCACCACCACCTGTAACATAGGTAAACAAATTGCCAACAGTCACATTACAGTACGCCCGGATAATTCGCAGATTTTTATTTCGCGGATGACACCCTGGATGTACCCAAGAATGTCTGCGGGTAGTTTTAAAGTTGCCAGCATTTTTGCGGCCGGGACAGGGAGCCATTCTTTCTAGAGACAGTAATTTCCTTTACCTGTATTGTATATGTATATGTGTGTGTCTGTGTAGACACACACACACATACATATACAAATAAACAATAATTGGAAAATCTTCTCACAAATAATCAGAAACAAATGTATATTAATAATGTTGAGTCTAACCCTCAAGTCTACTCCATGCTTTGTTATTAATGAAGCACGGAGTAGACTTGAGGGAAGACAACATTTTTAATATACATTTGTTTCTGATTATTTGTAAGAGGATTTTCCAATTATTATTTATTTGTACATGTGTGTGTCTACACATACATCACACACATATATATACAATATATATGTTTTACTACAGGTAAAACAAGTAATTGTCCTAAGGGCAAACATATAAAGGGAATATACATTTCTTTGAAGACAAGTAAAAATGTGCTCCCCCCCCTTCCTGGTCAGCAAATGTTTTTCGCGGATTTGGCGATTCGCGTCAATTTTGAGAACCTAACCCCCACGAATTTGAAGATGTTGTATTAACATATAATTATGGTATCTATCTATTTACTATCTTCATTTTTCATCTAATTATCTATATCCCTATGATATTTTACAGTTAATTATCTATGCATTATCTTTATTTTACATTACCTACTACTATCATTATTTTACATCTAATTATCAAGAAACAAAATCTTAATCAAGGTTTATTCTTAATCAACTGTTTTACTTCTTAAGACAAGCTAAACAACATACGTACAGTACATAATAATAATAATAAACGGTTTATTAAGAGTTGCAGCAGGTGGCTGAAAATCAGTGACTGGATATGTATGGGAAAATGGTAATAATTTTGGTTGCCACAAAATGAAAAAAAATATATAAATAAAAGTAGCTAAAAAGTTTCTTAAAGCTGCTCACATATTAAACTTTGGATGGAATGTGAGTTTTACAGATCCTGTTGTATTTCACAGACCTGGGTGGAGGGGCACATGTACACTGTCACTATTGCGCAATTACTGTAAATTGGTCTCTTTAGGTTCCTGATTTAATATTAAGCCATAGTTAGCAATACATACCTGCCACTACAGCATCATGCTTCAGTGCCCTACGAACAATCATGATTGCATCGTGGAGTGACCGCTCAGTCTCCTCCAGGAACTGCTCTGCTCCTCCTCTTAACACAATTGTACAAGTTTTTGTTTGTGGGCAGCCATTGAAGTAGTTGAACCTGATGAGGAAATGAACAACAAGTAAATCTTTGAGTTGGTTTCTTCTTGATTCAGCTTCACCTGAAAGAATTAGTAAGCACTGATCATTACTTAAATTAAAAATGTCTTTCTCATGATTTTAATACTCTAACTTCAAACCTTTTCCTGTTACAAGTGTGTGGGGGTGGTTACATGCACACACACAGAACATTATTTTTTTACCTTTCAGCTCCAATCTGCTTTTCCTCAAACAGCTCACAGGTACCCAGCACAGATTCTCCAAGGTCATGAGCAGTTGACATGATCGCTCCACCGCACGCCTTGATCGTCCGCTTCATGTCCTCATCGACGACACGGCCAGCACAAAACATGTCCCTGCATTCCAAAAACTTCATTAAAACACCCAAAATGTGGACATAAATTTTGATTAATGAGTAGTTAAGCCACTCCACCAACTTATTTATCTGATAATTTAACAACTTCAACTTAACACTACCTTGGGAGGGGGTGTTGGTTAAGTTAACTTTAGTAAGGTTAGGTTTGCGTGTTTTATCCCCATGTTAAGTAAGCTGGGGTATTTATTCTTCGGGTGGTCCACAAATTTCCAAAAAAACACTTCACACTAGATCCAAATATGGTTAAGTGATTGAATTATGGAATTTTGGCTTAAAACCAAGCATTGGAGCCAATAGGCCATTCAACACTTTATGCCAATTAAAGGATATCCCTACTATCAAATACAAATACATTTAATTAAAACAAATAAATAACAGCTGATGTTTCATCCCCTCCAACAAGTAAAGAGGACAGGAAAAAGGGACCACCAAGGGCAGTATACATGTTAACTATGTCATTACACTTCTCTTTACACAAGAGAAAAATGAACACATAAATACTATAGCTACCTGTCTGCAAAATATTGTGTTGCTACATCACCGATTGGCAGTTTGGAGAGAACAACCTTGGCCCCAGACTTGTGGATAAGGTCAAGCTTCTCGTAAAGAATATTCCATTCTGTATCGACGATCTTCTGATACTCCTGTAGGATAATAAAATACGTCGGTACTAATAAACTACAGTGCCGTACGGTATTGATGCCGTAAACTGGACTAGTCTAAAACAACTGTCCTGCTATCATCCATCCCCACATCTTTGTTAATTTTTATTAGGAAGGAATATAATGTACGGCTAGAGTAACATGAAATGCGCAAAAAAGAATATAGGAGAAAAAACGTTAGTGACACAGCGAGTAGTGAAGTGTGCTGATCCCTGTGTCCTTAAGTTTTAAATAGTGGCTCAAGGAACAATTCATGGGTGACAACCTCACTTAACCCAGCTGAGAATACTGTGGGTGGCCTAAGATAACAATGACCACTTTGACCACCTGAACACTGCAGGTCCCAGCTTACATTACCTCAAGATTTATTACCCCAACATTACCCTACCCTTACCTAACCCCCCTCTACAGGTAGCATTAGCATGGTTAATAACCTAAAATATACTGGGGTATGTAACTTGAGGTAAAATAAGCTGGGGTATCTAATATCCATAAAAAATGTATATAACTTCCCGACATCGTGCCTAAATAAAAATGTATATAACTTAATATAACAAAGGAGCATAACCAGGCCTCTTACCTCAACATTATTCACCCTGATTTCTGCATTGTCCCTCTCTGCCTTCAGCTCCAGTTCAATGTTCAAGAGAGCAATTTTGGGGTTTTCATAACGTTTTGGTTGCATCTCAAACCCGGCATATGAAAAGGTCTTCTTAAAGGCCACACCATCAATCAATCGCGACTCCTGAAATTAAAAAAAGAAATAGATCCAAGAAATTATGAAACAGACTTCACTAGTAACCTTCACTTACATGTCAAATGGGGATAAGAGACAACAACACCACGAATCAATTATGGATCAAGAGGAGGAGACAAATAACTAAGGGACATTTAACAGGTAAAAACAAATTGACTCAATTATATAGTTGTAACGGGCGGTCTTGTAATTAATTGGCCGGACTTCACAAGTAAACTGCGTATGACAATGTAAGGCGCATTTATTTGTAAAAGTTCCCGAATATAATATTTTACATTACAATACATATAAAAGAGCAGGTCATGTTCAAAAACCTACACAACTTGAAACATCCAAAACCATAAATGAAATAAGCTTAACAAGAATATGAAACTATATCAACATAAATTAGTTCTCAAAGATACCATCAGTACAAGTCAGCAGGAAATATTTGGTTGCCTAAAGGAGAAGTGAGATGCAGTTTAGATTTGGTTGTTACCAGCCATTCTTAAGATTATCTCATGAAAACTGTATTTTGAGTCCTGTTTGTGTTACTTTAAATACACGTGTTTTATACAGTATTAGAAGACGGAGACAGACAAGAGTAGGACACCAACGACAGGTTTATGATCATAACAGGTACTGCTGTACTGGGACCATCAAACACAATGTACCGAGTCTCATCCATCACACATGACAGCAAAATTACAGCAATCTTCTTCTCTTTTATTCTTTTCAGGCAAAGGAATCATAACAAAGATGGCAGAGAAATTAACACAAGAGGAAAGAGTCAGTTCAATATTCTTGTAAGGAGAGTCAGATCCTACACACCTAACAGTTGCAAAAAGAATTAATTGACAAAACCTATAACCTGTCATTTAACAAGAACAACTGGAACACCACATCTGACTGTAACAGACATGCTATGAGAGTTAAGACATCACAGAATCAATATACATTTTTATTCTTTCTTTACGTGTTAATTTATCTGCCAAATGTGTTTATGATTCCCTCACCTGAAAATGAGTGAAAAATGAACAGTAATTTTTCTCTGGTGCACGACCTATGAAGCACACTAATTAGATAATGATGTTGAAAATCATATTTAGCACATAAATAAGCTTCTCTTGGCATTGGTCTGACTGACCAAATGGTCAATGACCAGTGAAGGGAATTGTACTTGCCTCTAGAGCTCCGCCGGGTACTTTCTTTATACCAATCATGTCAAGAGGCATCAGAATGTCCAGTGACATGACAGCATCGACCACCATTTTAGCAAAGAAATCCTTCTGTTGGTGAATTAGCTTGCTGTTGAGTGATGTTCCAGCACACTTCTCCAGGATGGATCGCAACTCAACTGGATCTTTTTTATTAATCTGAAGAGACCACTCATTATATATAACACACAATTGTGATAAAATAAAAACCTATCTCAAATTATATACAAACTAAAGTGACCCCCCCCCCCTCTGAAAATCAAAAAACAATAATTAAGATTCACCAACCCACAGGGTTTTAACAGCTGGCAAGGTAGAGCCACAACTCCCTGAGGTAATCAAAGACTATAAAGATTAGCTCCCATCTTAAGATGGACCACCCTAACACTAACTTGACCCCCACAGGTAGCATTAGTGCTTAATCCTCAGGTGAAATAACCTGGGGGGATAATTACAGTACCTTTCGAACACTAATTTATTTTCTAACGCTAATTACTCACTGCCTATGTTTTGTCAAGGTCACTCTTTGGTGTTTCTGGATGTACTAAGTTGTTACACATTAAATTTCAATTTTGTTCAAAATCTCAATATATTCAGTATGCTGCACTGTATAATTATACTGTACCTCTCAAGCTGTACAGTACTGACCTTGACAGCAATCTCATTAATCTTTTCTATAGCCAGAGTTGTAGCGCGGCGGAATGCCCTGATAATAGCATGGGGGTGGACACCTTCCTCAATGAGATTTTTGCACTGTTCCAGGAACTGCCCAGCCAGCAGCACAACGGTGGTGGTGCCGTCGCCAACCTGAGAAATAAACATAAGTTAATCCCACTTTAAACAAAATTATCAAGTCAACTCCCACTTTTAACGAGTGAGCCCACAATTCTAACATTACCTAGTTAAGCCACACCTCTAACACGTTAACCTAAACTTTCTACAACATTATCAAAGATAATCCATGATTCTAACATGCATTAACTAGATAAAGACTCTTCCAGACACGACAGAAATAGTAAACAATGAAAACACATTGGACACTTTAGGCGATCAATGGAAAATGAATATACTGTACATATAAAAATTAGGACAAGACAAGAGGGTCATAGAAGACTGGTAGTATAGGAACACAAAGATCTGCCAGTGTCATCATCATTTTAAGGCTGTTTTCCAGGCTTGCATGGGTTAGCCTAATATAAGCTACATGTGTGGTAGTAGCGTGACTGTTTGTGGTAGTAGAGTGTGGTAGTAAAGGACTGTTTGTGGTAGAAGAGGCTATAAGAAGCACACACAAACATCAGCTGTGAGGGTGATGAGTTGAAAATGAAGAAAAAATAAATCACTTTAAACTAGACATTCTTATTGATCAATATTTAGCAATTCTCTCTAAAGCAAGTTCTGAAGACCATAGCCCAGCAACTGCAAAATGTTTGTGTGTGAAATCTCGGACCCCCTTAAGATTAGGCATCACAGCTTACTTCATCTAATCATTAATCAGGTGAGATAAGCTTGGGGAGGGGAGAGAGAGGGATCTTCAGGTGCTCCAGTTCAAGCTACCTTACCATATTCTTGCTACCAGATCTATCCCCCACACTTGTTCATACGTCAAGCAGCTGCTACATTTCTTCTCTAACACTACTTGACACAGAGCTATCTAATCGCATTTAACTCATAAATTAAATCAAAAGAAGCTAGAAGCTTTATTTAGTCCAACATATGAATGAGAGAGAGAGAGACTTACCTCAGCATCTTGAGACTTTGCAATATCTACTAAAGTTTTTGCCGCAGGATGAACAATATCCAGCTGCTTCATAATGGTAGCCCCATCATTGCTGATTGTTGCTTGTCCCTGAAGTACAGATACTCTCATAACTATCCGGACAAGGGTATAAATAATGGGGTCACATCAAGATTAACAACCCCCCTGTTTAATTTATCATTGTTAGCCAATAGGTCTGGTGACACATGACCAATTCTTGACTGACTGGGCCCCAAAACTGATGGCTACCTTGGTATCTGCCAGGGAAGCATTGAAGTATTTACAACACAAGACAACTGATTGAAAATGCAGAAAACTATTGAGACACTCACCCTGCCATCAACAATAAGCTTGTCCATGCCACGTGGACCCAGAGTAGTCCGAATGGCGTCAACAACTGCTGCGCAAGCGTTGATGTTTGAGATGAGTTGTGGCTTACCCTGGGAGGAGTCCGTCCCCTCTTTCATTAAGATGATTTGTGGTTGCTGGAAAAAAGATCAACTGACATGTGATGAAAGGTAATGAGAATTGTGTTTCTGGTGTATTTTCGTGTCACCAGATATAAAAATAAACACTTTCTGTTAAACATGCTGGTGTGACCGCCTCCCCCAGTTAGGAAGTTAGGTAGGTTTCTTTTATAGAACATCTCTTGAAAATAATGAAATTGAACCACTCGTTCTGGTGGTAGTGCTGTTTTCAGACATTACCCTAATCTGGACCAATGGTAAACATATAATAACTTATATAAATCATCTTGACGCAGCTCACAGTACTGTACAGTAAGTCTATGTAACGTATTACTGCAGAAGTGAGGCGGTACGGGGGATTTAGTACTGTGTGCAATCAATAGTTTAGACAATTCTGGCACACTTTTCTGCTGATATTTCCCTCGCAAGTGGCTTAAATATACCAGGGGATCCAGGGGGTCGGAGCCCCTTGGTTAGGAGGTTAGCTTAGGTAATTTTAGGTCATTTGTGAGAGAAACATCATAGAATAAGTGTCTTAAATTTTCTAAACTCCAAGTAAAAGTTTTCTTTTAAAAACGCAATGTTAACTTACCGAGGGTAAATATATTAAAAACTAAGCGTTACTCAAAAACATTGATTTGTAATTTAAATATAAAATATTTAGGGTAGTCAGAAACACCAGAAGCGTGAAGCCAAATATTAACTTATCTCCCTATATAAAAACCAATACTATAGAGTTCCATGGGGATGGTTAAAACAGTCAGCCGTGTATTGGCCCAAAGTGCAATGATACCCCCCGGATTGTCTAACTCAAAAACGAGTCGGTATTAGTCAAGTTTCAGGCCATAATCGGTACAGTTATTTTGATGGGTTTATTTTAGGTCTAACTCGTCAAATTAGACAACATTTCTTCTTTGGCATTTCCATCGTAAATGACTAATAACCAAGATATGGGGTGTGTTTACCTTAAAATTTTAAGTTATTTTCATCTCACCCCTGTAAACGGGTCGCTCTTCGTCCACGTTAGCGTGTGTCAACCGTGAGGTCACGGCTTACAGTAAATGTGCATGTCAGATCGGGTCACAGCCAATAACATTAATGTATTATGGTAGCTAATCAAATTCAAACTGCATCTTGTGCAGGAGTAGGTTTATCACGTCACAGTGTCATGTGATTGCAACGTTGGTTTTTTACTTGAAATAATGCAGTCGGTTAGGTTACGTTAGGTTTTTAGTGTATTTTATTCGATTTTGCTATTGATTTCCGTTGGAAATCACTCGTTTTGTCTGTAGGACTATTTATAAAAAAAAACCCGAGTGATTTCTGACGAAAATCAATAGCAAAATCGAATAAAACGCATCAACAGCCGTCGGAAAACCACAAGCTTCATCACCGAAACTTAACCTATACTAACGAGTCATTTGTGATAGCATGAAGATCAGACTCGTTCAAAACACATCAAAAACCATCGGAAACACGTACAGTATAGCCTACAAGTTTCATGTCCAAAAACATTATGGGCAACTTGTAAAAATTAACCGTTTTCTTTTATTGATTTTTTTTGTTATGTGGTTAGACAACATGAGCCCTTGTCCTTAAATATTACAGTAAAGACAGATTGACAAATACGGTAGATATTCATTCAGTAAATACATCAGTTTACATTGACCCATAATGTATATAATCTATCACCTTGTCTGCCGCCATTTCCATCTTTAGCTTTTGGATCACATACGAAATAATTGTCACTAATACTATATTTTATCCTATAACATAAATCAATACACATATATATACATATATATATATATATATATATAGTCTTTCCATACAAGCATCAAATATCAGCAGTTGACTCACGAGCGGGCGTGTAGCCATGCTGATACTTATTACATCTCTATCTACTGTATTATATAACACCTGGTAACCATGACACCTCAAATACTACATGCCGCCGTAAATAACAAAATGGTATGGTTAATTACTATATAATAATTTTATTTTACTCACCATTTTTAATAATAGCAGCGAGTCACTGCGAACAATGTGGGGCGGCGGAGACGATTGGTCAGTGTTACAGTGTTAGTGATGTACCACGAACAGGGTGATAAAATATTTATTATATGGATATTTTTCGAATAATTCATAATACATTATATGTTCATGTCATTACAAAATATATTTACATAATGCAAGTACATAAATAAATATAATCAATAAGTCAATTTAATCAAGGGAGGTCAAGAATATATATTCCACTTAGCTCTGAAAAACCAAACAAAATTAACCTTTGTAGACTTATGAATCAAAACTATTGACCATGAAATATCTATATTGTATTATAGTACTTCATATCTAGTTAGGATCATCAGCTTAGTTAATAATTATACAAAGTGGTCAAGAGGATAAAGTATAATCGCTGTCAGTTGTGGTATACTTTCAACATTCATTGCTGTACTTAGCAAAACATAAGGAATCTTCTGGAATTTTCTAGACAAAATACGATAAATACGCATGCAATACTTCATTCCACTTATAAATATACATGCATATAAATACGAATATATAGCAGTCCGCATTTACTTAATGCAAAATAAAATAAATAACACTAATAACACCTCTGATTCATTCATGACTCACCCTATCTTAATAAACTTCGATATTTGTCCTATACTTACATATGTTTATAAGAAATTTATATACATATATATTATATATATGTTATTCATCAATAATTCAAGTGGTAATTGATTCAATTCAATTTCAATTTCAATTTCAATTGTTTATTCCTTGATAGAGGAAGCGGGATCCTAGTGCTGTCACTAGGTACCCCTGTACAATGACACCAGAATCATCTGGCAAGTGTGAAAAGTATATACAGTATAAATATTATAAAGGGGCTTACTAAAGCCTAAGGAAGGAAGGATGTTCCTTTAACACATAATCAATGTTATTTGCATAGTATCTGGCCAGTATGGGGAGGATCATCGTGTCTCCGTCAGGGGGTCGTGGAGTGGTGGTCCAGCAGGCGTCACGGAAGCGTTGTGTGTGGGGACATCTTAGGAGGTAGTGAATAAGGGTGCGGCTGTCGGGTCTTCTGCATAACGCACAAGAGCGTTGCTCAGGGGATGTGGGGATACCAATCTCCCAAGCAAAGTCATACCCAATGATGATACGGGCAGCAATCACGTCCCCCTTCCGCGACCCTTTCCCGTAGACGTATGAGAAGTCAGGAAGTTTACGGAGGACATCGTACCATGTGGGCGGGGAGTCCAGGGGGATGGCTGCTTCCCGAGCTTCTCTCTGTTTGCGGCGGATTTGGGTCCTAATCTGTAAGAGTGTTCGAGGAACAACGTAGTCAGGTGTGGCCTTGTTGCAGCCAGTCTTGGCAAGGTCATCTGCTGCCTCATTCCCCAAGATACCGACATGACTAGGTATCCATAGGAATGTCACAGGACGGCCTTCATCCTGAAGTGTGGATGTTAACCCTCGTATTCGGAGGATGAGGTCCTTATTTTCCCCAGATCCAAATGCGATCCCGTCGAGAGCAGACCTGGAATCGCAGCAGACAAGCAAGGGGCAGAAACCATCTGCTTCTTCCTCAGCGAGAAGGGCAGCAAGGAGGGCTATTAGTTCAGCCTGAGTGGAGGATGCCCCGTCAGAAACTCTGAGAGACAGTTTGATAGGCTCAGGGGCATGAGGACGGGAGATGTAGACACCAGCCCCGGCCCTACCTGTAGCGGGGTCAACAGAACCATCAGTGTAGAGGACGACCCTACCTGGGGACCAGTGAGCGATCCTGGGTAATTGATTCATCATATACAGTTCATAGAAACTGCAATAAGGAAACCCCCCCCCCCCACACACACAAAAGCGCTGTAGACCAAGGAAGGTAGAGTAAGGAGGCTCAACTTTCTTTAATTTGTAAACTGGTGCCTGCACTTCGGCATCTCAGCTACCCTGAGAGATTGGAGCGCCTGAACTTGCCTAGCTTATACTACAGACGGGCAAGGGGAGACCTAGTTGAGGTTTATAAGCATCTCAGGGGGCACTACTCAGTTGAGTGTCCTTACTTGGAGCTGGCGGACGCTCGCCCCACAAGGGGTCACAGCTCAAGATTGAAGAAGCCGCAAGTCCGGAAAACCGTGAGGGCAAACTTTTTCGGAGTGAGGGTTGTAAACTCTTGGAACAATCTACCAGAGAGTGTTGTGACGGCACCGAGTGTGAGCTCTTTCAAGAGAAGACTTGACCAACACTGGAGCGGGTTCAGGTACATTCAGGAGCCGGTGCATGCCCAGTATTTGCCAACAGTGTGTGACAGAGACGTGACCGATCGCCCGGGCGGCTAGCGAGCCGACCTTTTGGTGAAGAATATAAATGAAAAGAGTCGTGACCGATCGCCCAAGCGGCTAACAAGCCGATCAGTGGCGAAGAGGATAAAAGTAAAAGTAAAGTAAAAGAGTATTATTCAGTGCCGCCATTCACTACGCTATCTAGCGCAGACCTACACAACTAAGGCAGCATTCATAGAAAACGAAAGGTGCCGTTTAGCGGATTAACTATACAAACCTTGACGTATTTATGAAAAAACTAACCTCATTATTATTTGTAAAACGTCATTAATTCCAAAATGACGGTCGAACATCATGTTAACTTTAAGGTTACTGTTGGTTGTGCCGATGAATTATGTGGGGGAGCGTAGCTCAAGTGGGTCATATGATTCGAGCAGGTAATTTTGTTTGCTGATAACTTGGATGTTTGCATTTCTGGAACTTTAGTACTGAATATTTTATCTTGTTAAATAAACGATCCAGTATTATAATTTCCTCTTTGAATAGTACTTAATCGCCATGAAGCTTCCAATAAATGATTGAATATAATCTTCATGAAACTGATATCCTATATTGATATCATGAATTTCATCTGAGACTGCGCTTAAGATATGTGTTTAAAATATACTTATTTATAAACGTATTAATAGCTATTAAAACATATATATTTTATAAGAATTTTAAATTTTGCGTCAATATTTTTAGTAAAATATCTATAAACAAGTATTTCAATGATTAAAATATAATTTATGTAGGGTTATATTTTTCCTGTTTACTGGCAGGTGAGGCGACAGGAGAGTCTGGCAACCCCAAAATCAATAGCCAGCAGCAGAGTGATCTTCAGGGACGTGATAACGCGTCTAATTTTCTCTTCTCAGATACTCACACACTGGGCTTCAAAAGCAACAAAAGATGTGTGGTGGATTTACTTGCTCTAAAAACTCACTGGTGGCTCTCAACATTCTCTATGTTGTAAGTATCAAAGTGTTTGCCAAGAAAAATCCCAAAGTTGTTATCCTTGCAGTGTCAATCCGAGTGTACTTGCCGTGGCTTTATTACTGCCACAGGTTGGCCTTAATACAAGAAAGTAATTTACTTAGCAGCATATGATTTAGAGTATTGTTAATACGTAACAGCGTTGTTAATGTTTGTGTCGTGTTAAAACTAATGAAGTAGACTGATAATGAGTTTTATCAGGTCTCAAGGTACTCAAACTGGGCCCACACATTACTAATTCGGCCAACCTTGCACGCTTCAAACAAATAGCTGAGTAGAGGTTCAGGAATAAGTTTAAGATATGTTTTATGTCTCTTTTGGTTCACTGAAATACGAATTGTGAACGAGTGAATACCGAGGGTTCAATCTGTATAAAGGACGAATTTTATGAGTTTATGTTAGCATGGGGTCTGCCCATATTGTCAACAACCTGCTTTATCACCATATTTTGAACTCGTTTCGTAACCAATGCTTTAACCCCTTTCGTCACACTGTTCATTCCCATCATTATATACACGAAAATAACTGTTGCTTGGGATATGAAATTATAAAAAGCACTAAGACAATTTATTAAAGACGAAAATAAATAATAAAAACATTGTTAATATGCCTGCAATCATGTCACTGCTCGGTGATTCATGCGCTCGTGCCAAATCACCTTCATTTGTTCTGTATTTTGTTTATTCATCAATGTTTTAATCATTTTATTTATTAAATAATTACTCGGTAATATCATGTATAATAAAAACACAATACTTCTCGAGTCGTCTGTACACATGTGTAATATCTATTCGTGTAAAATAATAAGTTACAATTTGTCACTAATACCAGCGACTGTTACCGATGATGAAACGGAATTTATCTTTGTGATGGGTTGGGGTATTGGTGACGAACTGGGTTAGTGAGGATGTGGATTGGTAACGAAATGGGGTGTTTCCGTTAGTAGAACTTGATCAATGAACCATGATTCACATTTGTAACTTGTGCTTCTCCAGGTGATTTCGAATAGGGTTTGAAATTATTGCTTCCAGCAATTTGCCTACAATTGATGTTAAACTGAGGCATTACAGGTATTTTACTATCGGACATGGCACGCCCCAAAGTTATAAACTCCTGAAACATTTAGATCTCCCTATTCTGAGCATGTTGAACCCCATAAATACCTGGCGGAAATGGATAATAGCGACACAATTGAATTTAATTGATTTTACGTACTTTTCAGTCTTTGTGATGAGGTGACACCCAGGACACAACCACACTTAACTCTTACCAAATGCAGACTCAGCTTCTCAAACGGCATCAACCCACAAAGGACACCACAACTTTCATGACGTCACGCCTCATAGGCTTTCTTATTGGTCGAAGACAGGCATAAGGCCTTCATGCTATTGGCTTAAAATTGACGGGAACTCTTGAGTGGCGGGAAACTCGTGACATTGTTACGAGATTGCGGCTGCATTACCGCCGGGAAGACAAAGTTGTGCATGCCTAGGTGCCTAATTATTTACAAAACGAACCATTTGCACAAGAAATGATTGTCGTATCAGAACTCCCTGATGATAGTAAAGAAAGAAAATAAACAGTAAAACAAATAACTCGTCTGTGGGTCAGTTGTCAATATTAACCAAAAATCAACTAAGGTTGCTCCTTCCCACGATTTGGTCTCATAAGTTATTACCAGGTCTAGGTTACGTTGGTGTTATGAGGTTTAATAATTTTGGTTAAATAAGTTAGGGTGCTTTATGTGATCTATTGTTTGCTTAACTTTACTGCACTTTTATCTTGTTCGCCACCGATTGGTCTGTTATTTTAATAATTTTTAAATTAAATTTAAATAATCAAATGAAGGTGAGGCAAGTGATCATCTGGATTAAAATTATTGTGTTACGTACAGGTAGATGTTAATATCCCTGTTTTTTTTAAATACTGTACAGTACTGTACAGATATTTGTATTTTAAATTTTTTTGTGAACCCTCAATAATTACAGTAGAGTACTATATTATAGGACATGTAATAAACAGGAACCTAAAAGTCAGTAGGAATTGTATGAAGAACATCACAGTGTTCAGAGTTTGTTCCTACTGCTTTTTAGGTATCTGTGTATTACATGTCCAATAATGGGATACTAATTATTTAGGGTTTTTTAATAAAAATAATTACCCTGTAGAGTACCGGTAGTTATAAAAAGTAATACTTTACTGATTTTTTTATTTTGTTTTAGCGTTTAGTGAAAATTCTGTATAAATGTGTACTTACAGGTAGTGGCCTTCATCTTAATTGGTGTTGCTGCAGCAGCAAAAGCAACATCATTCGTCACCTCCCTCTCTCTTGTGTCTGTCATCATCGCCTGCGGAGTCTTCCTGCTCCTCATATCCATAGTGGGTCTTGTCGGTGCCAGCAAACATCATCAGGTAAATTGCTGTTGTACATTATTGACTCATGTTATACACAAGTTATTATCTTAAAGTTAAGGAAAATTAAAACTGAATAATTACTGAACATTAAAACTTTTGTCTTGAGGAATATATAAAATTTGTGATAGCTGCAGTAATTAAGATTCTTCTTTGCGCATTCAAATGCATTCCAGTAAGTGTGTTTTTGTAGTGTTATTTGACCTTTGTCCCTCATAATATTTGTTAGAATGAGTTTCTTAAAGAAAAATTTAATGGGAGATTATTGATTAGTCTGCAGGTGCATTAATGGTTAGTGTTTGAGGAGCCCTTAACGTGAGTGGGCTAAGTGTGCAGTATGACTTTCTTACTCATAGAGCAAAAATGGGATTTTTTTGTAATGGACCAAGGTACAGCTATTGTTCCATTGAATCTTACCAGTAACAATACTATACTATATTACCGTAGTCAACACTTGTGGGTCATTGGGACTACAGGGGGTCCCCGACCAATACGAACAGGGTTAAGTTTAAAATGTTCAGTATTTTATTTTGCTGATGACTTATTGTTTTTACTTTGATTTACTGTATTTTGTCATTCTATTTCTTCTTTTCTCTTAAATTAAGTGATCTTAGATGCACAGTATATAATGAGTTAGGCTTTGATATAGTGGAATTTTAAACATTGTTCTGTAAGTACGGTATGCACATAGCATGTGTTCCAACTTATGTACAAATCCGACTTAAGAATGTCCTCAGGAACGGAACCCGTTCGTAACCTGGCGACCCCCTGTAGTTGTAAATACTATAGTGACTGTATCTGTTATCTACTTGTTGGATCATGTGTAAATGGCGTATAATGTGAATGCTGCACTTTTGTCTTATGTGAGTCAGTAACAAGATAAAAATGTCACAGACCCTCTTACTTAGGTGTTATCTTCAAGTAGACGTCATCTATTGACAAAGACATTAAGAGAACTCTGTTCGCAACTCTCCGTGACCTTTACAGTATACCGTACAGTGGATGTCGAGAATTCAAGATGCAGTATTCGAACCTTAAGTGAAAAGCTAGTGCTTATGTGTAGTGACAGTTTAATGGAAGATATGTTTCTTAAAGGAATCTCTCGGGTATGGAGGTTCTCTAGTGAAAAGAAACACATAGGTTTGATGAGGTTATAAACTGTCAAAGATAAAGAGTCCCAGCCCAGATATGGTACACCCAAGAGTGACAAAAACTGTATAAAGAGCTTGTGGAGCCCCTTGAGATCCTGTTCTGTAAATGCCTGGAGGAGTAAAAGGTCCCTGGCGACTGGAAGATGGCTTATATGAGTCCTACAGTAGAAGTCCAAAAATCCGGACTGCTTGGGGATTGGGTCGGTCCGGATTTTCGGATTTTCCGGATTCTCATGCAGTACTTTTAAAATTAAAATTTAAGAAGGAATAAAGAAGAGATGAACTGGTACATTTTGATAGTTTATTCATTAGCAAATATAGCATGCTTCATTTATTAAAACGAGCAGTTTTAATGAAAAAGCTGTGAATTCTAGAATTTTACTCTTTGCCTTTTTTATATCATAAATTGTAGACTTTCCAATGTCGTATGTTTCCATTAGAACAGTATTGCTCACACCACGTTCTAGTTTCTTAATTATTTCAAGTTTGTCACTCAATTTCAACGTGATCTTCTTTCTCTTCACACAACGAAGTTTATGTACTTTAGGAGCCATTATTATGCGCTTGTACAGTACTCTGTAAATGGAAAGAGTAGGACTCAAAACATTGTAATATTACAATGGTATTCTATTCATACTGTGCTTGATATAATGCATTCACGGAAATGTAATATTTTTGCTGAAATGACGTACGTATTACAGTGGAAAGTGGGATAAAATCGTGACGAAAACAATGGCTTTCGCTTTCTTTCGTCCAAAAGATGTTACCGTAATCGCTTTTTGAATGGTTTTCAGTTAAAAAACTGTTGCATTACAATAATAGTGTATCCTAATTGACTTGAATAAATACTATGATACCATATTTCTGAATGTTTTCATTAAAATCCATCAAAATCATTTTCCTTGTCATCGTCTGCAGCACCAAACAGCTTCTCCCAGTTCTCTCCTTGAACAGGGCTAGAGGGTACAGGTTTTTCTAGTCGTTTTCAGTTAAAAAACTATTACATCACACGTATATTTTACCTAAACTGCGCCTGAATGAATATATTCCCGGAAATAAATAGTAGTTTTGCTGAAACGTGATGTATTTCAATGTAAAATAGGATAAAATACATGACGAAAACAAAAGACTTTACCTAAGCTTCCGATGTTCTTGAGATGTTACTCGTTTTTTAATAGTTTTCGGTTAAAATTCTGTTATATTACAATGATATTCTATTCTTACTGTGCTTGATATAATACATTCACGGAAATGTAATATTTTTGCTGAAATAACGTACGTATTACAGTGGAAAGTGGGATAAAATCCTGACGAAAACAATGACTTTCGCTTTCTTTCGTTCAAAAGATGTTACCGTAATCGCTTTTCGAATGGTTTAGTTAAAAACTGTTGTATTACAATAATATTCCCTCCTAATTGACTTGAATAAATACTTAAATGGAAATATACAATATTTTTGTTGAAACTACCCGCGTTTCAGTGTAAAGTGTCGTAATAATAAATGGTAAACAATTTGCCTTTGGCACTCGTGTTTCAGGCACGGCGAGCCTCAGGTCAAAAAATCAGGATTGACCTATAAACGAGGGGGGTTATAGACGAGTATATACGGTATGTTGTCACAATTTGATTGCCCGTTTTAAAGTGGCGACCACGTGGTCGCTTGTTGTCGCTGTGCAGCTGTGGCGCTCATGCATGCGCACATACACACAAAAGCCCGCTAAAAAAAAAAAATAGTTTTCGAAAAGTTCGGATTCTCGGGTGGTCCGAATTTTTGGACTTTTACTGTATATTCAAGAAGGGCGATCGTCACTCACGAATAATTATAGACCGGTAAACCTTACCAGCATAGTGTGCAAAATACTAGAGAGCATCGTAAGAGATGCCAGGATGGGACATCTGCTACGAATCAACCTTATAATGGAATGCCAACACGGGTTTATGGCGGGAAGATCCTGCTTAGCACAATTACTCAAGGTACTACCTGGTACATGCTTGGACTCAAATTCTAGAACAAGGCAGAAATATCGACAATATATACCTAGATTTTGCCAAGGCTTTCGACAGTGTACCCAGTGAAAGGATGAGAATTAAAATGAAACGGTACGGGATTCAGGGAAGTGTCCTAGCGTGGATCAGAGACTTTCTGCATGACCACAAACAGTGTGTGGTGATAAATGGTGCATAATTGTCATGTGTACCTGTGACTAGCGGGGTAACACAGGGCAGTGTATTGGGCCCGTTGTTGTTTGTCTGTTTCATTAATGACATATCAGAAGCTATACACTCCTCTATACAAATGTTTGTGGACGATGCCAAGTTACTTTGGGAAATTAGTGAATCATCAAAACAAAGTCCAGACAATGTCATTACTTGTAAATTTACTTGTACAGGTTGTACCTCTAGTCCGGCATTCTGTGGTCCGGAATGATTTTAGTTTGTCCAATAGGTAGATAGACAGCTTTTTTTTATAGGTAGATAGACAGCTTTTTTTTATAGGTAGATAGACAGCTTTTTTTTTTTTTTTAATAACTTATCTGAATTATTATTATTATTATTACAGGAGTATTAAATTTTTGCCTCTCAGGCCCCAATGTGGGTCAGTGACCTATGCCCGGGTGGGCTAATCCCCGTAAAAAAACAACAACAAAGCCACGGGAAATTAAGGTTTGTTTACATCCGGCAGCTCGGCTGCTCTCTCTGTGCTTGTCTATACAGAGTACAACTTTTAACCCTTCAATATATATGAGCAGTAAATAAGTGTTGCTTTCATATTCTTATGTAAAGTAATGACGATATGTTTTCACATGTGCGCACTTGCATATGCGCAGTCTCACTTTTTTCTTTACCATTAATGGTTAGCTACTTATATTGTTCCATTTATTAACATTAAATAACATTACTTCAAACAACCATATTAATTTTTCTACATTAATTTTACTACAGCTACAATCAGGGTCTTATTTTCTTCAGTTTTATATGTAGAACCGATCAGTCACTGGTTTTGTAAGCTTTAACAAAAACAATGCCGGCAGCCGTCTCGTCTCCTCGTGTGTTTTAATATTCCACGTATTATTAATGAATTGTATTGTTCATTTTGCACACACAAACATTAATTCAATAAAAAAAATCAGAAACATTAATTAAAATATATATGAACGGTAAATAAGTGTTGCTTTCATATTCTTATGTAGAGCAATGACGATATGTTTTCACATGTGTGCACTTACATATGCAATCTCTCTTTTTTTCTTTACCATTATCGTTAGCTACTTCTATTGTTCCATTTATTAACATTAAATAACATTACTTAAAACAACCATATTAATTTTACTACAGCTACAACCAGGGTCTTATTTTCTTCAGTTTTATATGTAGAGCCAGTCAGTCACTGGTTCTGTAAACAATGAAAACAATGCCGTCTCGTCTCCTCGTGTGTTTTAATAGTGTACGTATTATTAATGAATTGTATTGTTCATTTTGCACACACAAACATTCATTCAATCAAAAAGACATTCAGTAATAAACAATAATGAATCCTTTGTGCATAAGAGAAATGACGCTGTTTACACGATTGTGCACGTCTGAACGTTGGTGAGCCATTCAAACCCGTCGAAATTCGAGTTTCCGCCGTCAGAATTTTTAATTTTGTTTTTTTGTGTTCCAATAAAAAACTTTGAATTAAAAACTAGCGAAATTTGAGAAGCTACTGTACGACATTTAACTCTTCAATATATCTTCAAAGAGACCATGAAGCAGAGAAAGTGGTGCTAGTGCTTCCAAGCATAAGCACAAGTCACTATCTATTCAGGAAAAGGGTGAATTTCCATGGTCCGGAAATTTCCATGGTCTGGCACCGGTCAGGTCCCGAGGTTGCCGGACTAGAGAGGTACAACCTGTATCTCCATCTAGTACTGGTAACTTTGTACCTGTACTGAAAAAAGAGAAAGTCTACCAGGTAAGAGTACATGACAGCTTAAGGTTTAAGGATATACACTACAGATATATAAAAAAAATTAACTAAAGGAAATCAAAGTAGAGGTATAGTGATGAAGAAACCAGCGGGAAATAGACATACATACAGTACAGTACTTTATAGGATGTGTGCTATAGGACTGTATCGAGGTAAATTTACTTTGGTTTATTTAAGATATTTGAAATAAGATATACAGTACATACAAGCATTTTGTGTACAGTAGTTTCAGTGATGAAAATTTAAGTATAGTAATGTAGTTAACAATTCATGAATGATGTAACATAGATGATGATAGGGCATGTAATTTTGGAACACTGATTCCAAATTGGATATACAGTAAAACCTCGATTAACCGACTTTCGGATTAACCGTCAATCCCGTACCCTTAAAAAAAAAAAAAAAAAAATTACGGGGATTAGCCCACCCGGGCACAGGTCACTGACCTACATCGAGGCCTGGGGGAGCCATAATGTAATAATAATAATACGTAATAATAATGCTAATAATAATAGTAATAAAGAACCATAAAGAAATGCAAAAATGAAAAAAATGAGAAACAATGTACGGTACCTGTATGTATGTTGTGTTGTCAATAGTAAGAGAAACAATTGAGACCCTGCAATTGTGTGTAAATGAGGCAGAAAGTCAGATCAGCAACCTGGGACTTGGTCATAATTTTTGTGATGACACATGTCCTTTGACATTTCCATTTTTTATTCACGGTTTCTGTGCTGGTTCATATTTATTTACTAAAGTGGTTAATGTTTTAAAGCAAATTCTATTGAAATATGAATGGCAAATGAACAAAAATGAATAGAGGGACTTAAACAAGGTAGGTTAGGGAAAAGGTACTTTGAAAATGTATGTTTTATTTCCGTCGACTTTATGTACTATTAACCGACCTTTTCGATTATCCGTCGGCCCCTTCCCCCCATATGTGGTCGGTTAATCGAGGTTTTACTGTACTGTACTGTAAATTGGAAAGCATTTGTATAGCACTGTAATAAAATATTTCATACAGTATAGGTAATACTTATAGGTATATATTATAATTTACATGAGTAGGATAGACAATAATTTTGTTATACATATTGTACTTGCTGTTGGATATATTGGGCTGTTAACTTAAGAATTCTTCTATCTTTTACAGGTTATGCTCTTCTTCTACATGATTGTTTTGTTCATCATATTCATCATTCAGTTTTCTGTGGCTTGTGCTTGCTTAGCCATGAATGGAAACCAGCAGTTGTTGTTTGCTCAACAGGTGAGTGTCAGAGCTGTACAGTTGCCTTCACTTATAACCATTACAGTGGCTGACGTGTTTTGTGAGATGTGGCACCACCGCCCACCAGCCAACAGATAGGAACCAGTGATGTTCTACTTGGTAATCTATATTAAAACAATAACCATGCAGGAAATGCTTACATTCACAGGGGGACTGCTTATTTACCATCCTTGTTCTGGTTACTATAGCCAAGGTAATTATGCCCATTCTGCTAGTTTTACTCCGATGTAAACAGAGAGTGATGCCACATCTCACAAAACATGGCAGCCACTATACTATACTATACATACATACTGTTCATACATTAGCCAACTGCTTTGGGTATTCGTAGAGGTTTTCTTGTTTTTCTTGTGACCCGCAATCACATCCCAGCAGAAAAATAAGCCGAGGTGGAGGCTAAACTTGTGGTGATCCTTGACTACAGGTCGGTTGTACTGTAATCAAGACCATCCTCCCTGAATCCTCTTCATTCACAGTATATGAATCATCCAAAAAGAGAACCTCCGTGGATAATGAGGTGATGGACTATCACATTGTCTTGAGTCATTTCCAGTGTAGGTAATGTAAAGGACATACTAGCAAGGTAATAATGACAGGAAGGCAGTCACTATATGAAATGCTGTGTCTTGTCTCTAATACTTGTTAATTCTAATTGAAAATTAAAATTTATGAATATTTTTAGGGTTGGCAAATTGCCGACACGTCGACAAGAAAGGATGCACAAAATTTCTTTGGCTGCTGTGGATACGATTTTAAAGAAGGAAATAAAACCAAACACCTAGACCATCCCTCATGTGAAAAGGTAATAGTAAGAATATATTCATTACATCTTTTGTATATAAATGGTAAACTGTATAGCATTGCCCTTCTGCAGTAATCTGTAGACTGTGGGACATTTAAATACTTTACCAGTAATAAATGAAAAAGAAAATTTTAGTTGACTTTTTTAAATCACCAGCTGAATTTAATAATGATGATACTGTTGTAAATTTTGTCACCTTTCTGTTAATTGGTTCCAGTTTATGCTTCTGTAAGATGATGCTTTTTAAATACTTAAATTATACAGTGATATATGTGGCTATCAACCCAACCACTACTATTTATTATGGTTGGTCTGCTGATGGTTATTTTATACAGGCCATAGGTCCCTGTCTCTTAAGTAAAAAGTGAATTGAAGACCAGATTTGGGGAGACAGCCACAGTCTTAAGAAGAAAAAGATATTTGTGGATGAAAGCCCAGGTTATAATATATAAAAAACTTTCGAGTTTTATATAGAATTTGTTTTATAGGTACTACGGCAGAGAGTATTTTTGTATTGAAGATTGCTATTTTCTTAATTTTTGCTCCTTTTAATCTTAGGTGACAAACAAGGAAAGTCAGTTATGTTGTCCAGATGAAGAGTATCGACACTGTTGCAGTAATATCACCACCGCCAGTGACACGCCTTGCCCCTGTCAGACATGTGATAAGCCAATTCAGAAGGCCTTGGAGAAAGATTTTAACGTGGTTGGCGGTATTGGTTTATTCTTCTCATTTACTGAAGTGAGTTTTATTCATTGTTGACCCTTTAGATTCTCGTTATGTGCTTCTTCATTTTGTGTACCCTCAGTCTGATGTGCCATTATTTCTCTAAAAAATTCTTTTATTGTTAGTATTCTATAGAGTTGGTGCACTTTTCATTTATAATTATCACCATTACTGTAGCATAAATTCAACACAAGAATCCTTTAGACATTTAAGTCACTTTTTTTTTTATATCACTAGTTACCATTTTAATCCCTTTATAGGCAGATAACATTACATTTACCTCTCGGTTTTATATGGTCATGACTATGGGATTGGATAACACTCTTGTGCTCCATGACTCAATATCCGAGTCAATTTTTAGCCGTATCCAATTGGCTCCGCTGCCATTCTCAAGTCACCCAAAAGAAAAAAAAAAGAAAAAAATCAAGTTCAGTAATTATGATTGACATATGAAATTTTGGCGACTCACTCCTTGAATCATTCTCTCTAGTGGTACTCCATCACTAATTAGATACCAGTACAGTATATGGCAACTCCACCGAGCACGAGGCTCGAGTAGTCTCCCGGCAGTTTGTCTCTCGTACGCTCCATTATGCGGTATTGTTTGCCTGTAAGATTATGTAAATGTATATTTTCGGCCTTCCGGCTGCCATGCTCTTTTGATAAACCGTTAATTATTAGTATTATTAAAAGGCATACAAATAAATAATAATGGGGAAATCCTCTCAAATAACAAGAAACACGACAACAAAATGTAATATAGAAAAAATGCAAGTCTACCCTCGAGTCAACTCCGTTCTTTGTCATTAAAGTTGAGTCGGTCGAGTTGTCGTACATCTCCGGCCGGGCTAATACATACGGTAGATCAAACTTACAGAATTTCTTTGGTAGCCATCTAGCCAACCCAACATGAAGGATGTTGGTACTTGTGGTGTAATACTGTAGTACAGTATGCTTTTTCACAATATGTATGTAGGATGATGTGTGCATATAAATGAGTAAAAATAAATTAAGGTCATGTTATGTTGGTCACACTATATATATATATATTATATATATATATATATATATATATATATATATATATATATATATATATATATATATATATATATATATATATATATATATATATATATATATATATATATATATATATACACATACATACACATATATATACACGGTGATCCCTCGGTTAACGAGATTTCGGTTAACGAATTACCTTCCATAAGATTCTTACCTTCGGTTAACGAGATTTCGGTTAACGAATTACCTTCCATAAGATTCTTACCTTCGGTTAACGAGCAATCCCTCGATTAACAAGTTTCTTACGAGCGCCCCTCAACATATTTTTGCTTGCATTTGGCGGTCCACCAGCTTTTGTAGTATTAGGCCACCAATACAGTAATTGGTTCTAGGGCTTAAATTCCTTACTATTTGAGTAAATATTAAGAAGTTTGTAGTATTCAATAATTTTAAAAGTTTGAGTAATATTAAATTTTTTAGTAATTTTAACAATTATTGAACATAATTGAAGTATAGGAAGCTAGTTGTTTTTTCTTTATTGTAGAAAATATAGTTCCACGGGTCCTTAGTTCAGTTGAGAATATATTATACCTTCTCTACTAGGGGAAATGTCTTAGTGTACGTACACAGGAGAACACTTAAGTGAGGTGTTCTCTGGGTAACAAAAAATATGAGTCTGATCTCTGACCAAGAGAGAGAGAGAGGGAGGAGCAGGCCTCGGGAGTGTGAGAAAGGAAACGCGTCAGATATCTTGTAGTGTTAACTTGCGCTGACCTTGGCCTGCCCTCGCTCGCTCCCCGAAAGAACTGCAACCTCAGCCGTGCATAACGTCAACAGTTGAATAACTTGGTGAATAATTTGGTATTATACATTTGAGTAAATGTTTATATAATACAAATGGTGCTGTTACAATGTTTACCTACCCAAAAATACGAGTTGAAAAACCATAACACCTCAAAGCTAGGCCCAGTAGCCTGGTGGTAACCTAGCTACAATGACATAATTAATCACTGTTTAGCACTATTCTATTCTAACTAGCAGTCACTCACTCCCCTTACATTCTCGTGTAGCCAGGCATACCGTACAGTACAGATGCCAGGTGTATGGGAGAAAAACTTATTCTGTAGTCTACTATGAAAATGTTACGAGCTCAGTGATAAACAAATTATATAAACCATTAATTTTCCTATGATAACATAATAATAGACAACTGTTATACTGTATAGAAATAGATTAACATTCACCATTCCATACTGGCTGTAGATCCCGTTTTACTCTTCCCTGCCACTGATGAATATGATGAAAATGATGAATGATGATGAAGGTGGATGAGGGCATTTGGGAACCATAACAAGTACGAGGAACAGAGTTGTTACGAGAGCAGCTTCGCACGTGCGTGACGCGGACAAATGTTTATATGTTACGAGAGCAGCTTCGCACGTGCGTGACGCGGACAAATGTTTATCCCAGACTGAGGCGGAGCGAGCGGGATGTTAGTGGGCCGGCCACCCGGGACGAGAGAGACACCTTGCAGGATGCCACAAAACTCGCTTGCTCCCCGTACCGGCCGCGAAAATGCCGGCAACGTTAAATCTACCCGCAGACATTCTCGGATACGTCCAGGGTGTCGTCCGCGAATAATAGAGCACCGCGAAATAAAAATCCACGAATTATCCGGGCTTAATGTATACTGTATAAATTTTTTGATAGCTTCCCAATATTCCAATTTCCAATTTATCGGCCTTATTATTAATCGTTTCCAATTTCTGATTTGACCGACATGAAGCTTTTAAATTTTCACTTTTTTATTGTACAGTACAGTACAGTACAGTACAGTACAGTACAGTACAGTATAACACTTATTGTAAAATACAATTTGTTTTTGTTGAGAACTATAATGCATAACATCACTTCATCAAAAATGTTTATTCTTTCTTCTTCTTCATTTTTTTTCTATGTGAAACAGCAACCAATTTTATATAAAATGTAGTTGGTTTCATACAAAAATAAAACGGTTACCAAAAAATGGATAAAAAAAAAAAAAAAAGAGACAGTAGCTCTTCTAAGTCAAGTGGTCACAACTGGCCCGATGATGGTGCGAGAGTGTTGCTGTAGTCATATGTTTATAAAAATATTTAAGGGTGTACTGTAGCTGGATTAATGCCCATAAAGTTATTCTGTTGAATATTGTGTATGATTACATCATCATTAACAAGGAGCTTTACATAAATACCTAACCACTTGGAGAGGTTCAGCTTTTTTAATTTTCTTTTGTTTCTTAACACTTGTATATAACAAATGCACATCTCCTTTGCACATGTAATCAAATGTTTACTTGTGAACCCATCAGTTCCTTGGTGTGTGGCTGACAGTGCGGTACAGGAACCAGAGGGACCCACGTGCTAACCCATCAGCCTTCCTGTAGAGTGGTGGGGTGCCCTAAGCCCTCGCACACCCTCACACACTAACATATCAGGTAGCACGGGGTTTGCTGTGCTTGGTGGTTGGGTTTCCTATTGGGTTTGGAATGCTTTACCCTTATAATGTGTGCATATACAGTACAGGTACACCGCCGATTTTCCGGGACACTTAACTTCCCTCCCTCCCAGCCAGGGTGAAGGTAGTTTTAGGCTTGAAGTTTTTAACTTATAAAATGTCACAGACTAAATTTAGCAAAATATAACTTGCATTGCTGTAATTCTTGTAAGATAGTGATTAATTTGAGTATAAACATCACATAGTTTGCACAAGAGATAAAGATTTTAGTCCTTTATTGTAGTACATTTGAGTACAAAGTGTGTATGTTCAAAATTATGGCTTTTTCACATTTAATTTACATTTCATGTTTGTTCAATTTAAGTTTCTAGCAGTCCATGGTACTTTAGAGACACAAGAGGTGTATACTTAGTGGGTCAGAGGTGTATTGTTGAATTATTACTACGTGACCTCGGTTGGTCTGGCAAAACGGTTAGTTCGACAAGGCTTTGGAACCAAGGGTGCCGGAAAATCGGTGGTGTACCTGTTTAATATATCTTCTCTTTCTTGTAACTGCCCTTGCTATGATATATCCTCTGTTGTGTGTCTATCATTATTAAAGTACTGTACAGTGTTTTTGTCTTTCAGCCAATTTTTACTTTCTTGAGCCTTTTTACACTGTAGGGCATTGTGGAAATGATTTGATGTGTTTTCCTAAAATTAATATTCTTTCTTTAAAATGTCACCTATATTGCAACTATATCTGCTTCATTGTGTCCTTCACAATATATTTATGATAAAACTAAGTACCCGTGTTCTGTAGCACAGTAAGATCTCATATTTCGCACAATTTCATTTCGCGTTCTTGAATTTCGCGAGCACTACCTAATGTAACCAAGTCATATATTTGGCTTAAAATGTCGTGAATTTTGCGAGATCCAGCAAGCTGAATGCTGGCCACCGTCTTGAATGACGTCACAGCCCTCATACCAGTTACAGTCATTTCTCCTACAACGCGTGTTTTGTCAACGCGAATTGGTTGCAACGCGATTGATGAATAGGTATACGCTGTTTGTAGAATGCGAAATTTTGCGTACGAATGTTGGCTATAGTGCGATTCTATTCTCAATGCTTTGATTCCATCCTCAACGTTTTAAGCGTGGCGCGGGGTTATGCATTGTTTACAGTTCACTTTCGACATCACATGGTCAATTGATTCGTGTCTTTTGTTTGTGAAGTGTTTTTTGAGATGTACTCTGTAATTTTTTATTTATTTTTTTATTTATTTTTTTGCAAATTTAACTGTTACCCGTAAATACTGTATGAAAAGAATAAGTGAGGACTAATAACAGTTTACACCAGCGCTCTCTGTTTACATCACGTGATCAGTTGAATCGCGTGGTTTTTGTCAATTGCTCCGTGATTTTCACTGTTTTCTCCAATTTTATTGTGTTTGCGATGAATATGGAGAGACAAGGTAAGAAGAATGTTTCCAAGAAGGGTTCTGGTGATCGAATTGCCGGTGGTGAACGTAAAAGAGGTTTACAAGAACGCAACTATCGCGTTGTAGCCTGTGCCATCCTAGCGACCGCCTGGGCTGTTATTGTGTGCTTTTTTTGGTTGGTGCTGCCACTTGTCTAGTCAAGATAATGGCCTCTACCTCTACTGGTGGGGGTGGCTGTGGGACAGACCCACCTAAGCAGCCAAATAAGTAAAAGGAGAAGCGGGACTATCATAAGGGAGTTAAGTTTGCCAAGTACTCGATGCAGGAGAAGCAGCGTGTGATTAAATTACTTGAGGTAGGCCTAAAAACTAGTTTCCGGAAAGCACAATCAAGTCAATAAAGGCAGAATTTGTATCATTTGGAGGTTATAAATGGGAACATCAGAGGTTGATGTAGAGTGACCAGTCTATATTGTTATTTTTCCCATTAGATTATGTATTTGAAGTTGGTGCAATTTTTCCAGTCTATATTACTCGTGAAATACAAGATCTTACTGGATGTAAATTAATGCTTGAACCCTTTTCCTTTCTGATGCACCAGTTGTTTGCCTGATGTGTGTGTCTGAATCATAACTAAGTTACAGCTTTCCCAGCCTAAAAACAGTGGTAATAGGCATTTCTTTCATCATCATCATACATGTTCTTACAATTTCAGATACAGGACAGTATTTTCTCATTCTCCTATTCTGTTTCATGCATAGGATGTGTATGATATTTTGTGGATGAATTTCTCTAATTTGAAGGTTTCTGAGCGACACATTTCTTTACCTTTTCTGTTTGAACTTACCTATACAGTAGAACGTCGATATAACACGAGATACGTTCCAAGAGAAGTCGCTTTAAACCGAATTCACATTAAATCGAAGTATTGTTTCAATGGAATAATTTAGTTTGGTACTTGAGAGAAACACAAAATACTAAAAAGACTGAGAATCTACCCAGATTCACCTCAACCCATCTCCTAGAATAAACAAAACATTGTTTTTGTAGTATTATGCTAAAACAAGCACTCGTAAATCAACTCGGCTAAAATTACGAGACGCGAAATGGTATGTTTGCTAGCAATTGGCTGTTGCGAGAGGGTAGCTGCGCTGGCGCCACGCACCACCCGCCTCTCACCAAGCACTCTCACTTTCCTCTCAACTTTTTTTTTAATTACTGTACTTTATACTATCAAAAATCGATCTTCACTGAATTTTAGTTCGGCAATTCTTCCTCTGAAGATGCAGAACCCAACTCGACCAGCTCATCATCCACATCACTGTCTAGTGGTGCGGCTGTGGATGCAGGAAGCACCCTTTCCTCGCTGCAGTGCTTCCAGCACCGTGATTTTCTGCTCTAGTGTAATTGCAGGGGAAGTAAACTCTGTCCGAGGTAGCATTATAACTGTATTGGGACTTAATGTTCATTTCATCAAACGAAACTACGTACTGTCAATCTTTCTGAACTGTCTTTTAGTAAACCATTTGCATTTAATAAATCCAGGCTTTTAGTTAAGATTCCTGGGGGAGTTTGAAAGTTCTTTATCCATCGGCTAAGACATGCTGCAGAGGGTAATGGATGTTTTAATACATTAGTAATGAAACCATAAGCTTTGCCACACTGTTTTGGTCCCAAGTACTTGTAGATGCAAGATTCGATAATCTTCTTAACTGTGCATTGGAGAATATGGCTGCCGCAGGCTTCCAAGTACAGTCGACCCTCGTTAATTCGGATCCCTTTAATCCGGATTTTGGATAATTCGGATAATATCTGAACCTTTTTTTTTTTCTGTAGGAATATTACCTACGCGGACCTTAAGCTAAAATGCTGGTCCACCCACTGCTTGGATAAAACACCAGCATCTTTTTGGTTAAATGTAACATCCACCACTAGTGTGGGGGGGGGATGCAACTTTTAGCTTCAGACATGAAAAATATTTACCATTCACTGCCAGTAAACAATGGAAACGTAAAATATGTACCAATTAGTAATGAAAAGTTGTGCAGTTTCTTCAGCAAATGAAGCTCACCAACTTAGAATAGGCTAAATTACCTTATGTGTTTTCAGTAGTCTATGTTGAAGTTCTTAGCACAGGCTAACTTATCATATCATATACGGTATCACAGTTCTCATTGATCTACAAAAAATACCGGTAATAAAAACCTTTTCGATATTTCACACTTAATATAATACCCGGTAATCTACTTCAACCTCCTATTGTTTATAACGACGCATGACGCACCACCAGCTGTTGAGTATCATCTAGACGGTACACGTGTTTTTCGAATCGTTTTCAGTAAAAAAACTGTTACATCACATGTATATTTTACCTTAACTGTGCCCGAATGAATATATTCTCGGAAATAAATAGTAGTTTTGCTGAAACGTGATGTATTTTAATGTAAAATGGGATAAAATACATGACGAAAACAAAAGATTTTACCTAACCTTACGATGTTCACGAGAAGTTACTCGTTTTTTAATAGTTTTTGGTTAAAATACTGTTATATTACAATGGTATTCCATTCACACTGTGCTTGATATGATGCATTCACGGAAATGTAATATTTTTGCTGAAATGACGTACGTATTACAGTGGAAAGTGGGATAAAATCATGACGAAAACAATGACTTTCGCTTTCTTTCGTTCAAAAGATGTTACCGTAATCGCTTTTCAATTGGTTTTCAGTTAAGAAACTGTTGTATTACAATAATATTCTATCCTAATTGACTTGAATAAATACTATAATACCATATTTCTGAATATTTTCATTAAAATCCATCCAAATCATTTTCCTTGTCATGATCTGCAGTACCAAACAGCTTCTCCCAGTCCTCTCCTTGAACAGGGTTAGAGGGTACGTTTTTTTTTAATCGTTTTCAGTTAAAAGTCTGTTACATCACGTATATTTTACCTAAACTGCGCCTGAATGAATATATTCTCGGAAATAAATAGTAGTTTTGCTGAAACGTGATGTATTTCAATGTAAAGTAGGATAAAACACATGACGAAAACAAAAGATTTTACCTAACTTTCCGATGTTCAAGAGAAGTTACTCGTTTTTTTAATAGTTTTTGGTTAAAGAACTGTTATATTACAATGGTATTCTATTCATACTGTGCTTGATATAATACATTCACGGAAATGTAATATTTCTGAAATTATGTACGTATTACAGTGGAAAGTGGGATAAAATCCTGACGAAAACAATGACTTTGAAATATACATGCAATATTAACCCCTAAAATCAGTTAATTCGGACAATCGGCTAAAACGGACACCCCCCCCCCCCTATTAGTCCGAATTAACGAGGGTCGACTGTATTTTGCTTCCTTATTGCACGTTTAGCTGTCCGAAGTTGGCTTTGGAAAAGTTTGACATTCGCCATCTTATTCATATACCCGGTATTTGTTCTCCAGTAGTTTACCGACCTGGATAACAGAAAGAAAGGTACAAATCATGAGTGTTGCTTAATTCCGTCAGTCAACAGTTAACGGACTTTTGTATGTCTAAAA